GTGAACATGCTTATGGTTAGTCTTAACTACTGTGTTACTTAAAGTAAAAATAAAAGAAAAAAAAAATAAAATCAAATAATGAACGGTCTATGGCATCATTGGTTTATGGCATCATTAAATAACGTTTTACAATTATTATTTTTATTATTAATATTATTAGAAAAATGTGTAAATGAACACGTTATTAAAAATATCGCTACATAATGTCATTTTAGGTTATGTTATCGTCAACATTTACCAAAAATATTCACCAGTAAATATTTTGAAACGCTCCAACACCATACTTATAAATAATAATAATAATAATAAAGACTTTATTTAACGAGAGAACTCATTTGAACAAACATATCAATCTTCCATGAGGCCCTCAACAAGGAACAATATAAAAAAAAAAATTAACATTTTCAAACTATTAAAATACATAAATGTAAAAACATACAGGAGATTATCAATTTGTATACATCAATGCGTGATAAAACCTCAAGTTGAAGTTTTAGAATGGTTAACAGATGTAGCAGACTTAATATAATCAGGAAGGCCGTTCCAAATACAAGATCCAGAATAAACAAAAGACTTACGAAATTGTTCAGTATTTGGTCTAGGGGTATAAAGTTGAAAATCAGATGTTGAACGCAAAATGCGAGTATGAACATCTGACGATAAAATAAATTATTCAATAAATAGGAAGGCGCCTGATTATTTATTTTTTAAACATTCATAATAGCTTTTTGAAAAACAACCCTCTGTGAAAAAAGGTCATCCAGCGGAGTTCAGAAAAAAAGTTCAGCAGATGAGTGTCATAATCTTTGTCTAGAATTAGTCTTGCAGCTCTCTTTTGGAAACTTAATGAGTTTATCTTCTAGAAAAGACGTACAGTTACCGTAAATTATGCAACAATAGTCAAGATGTGGTAAAATATATGCATTGTAAAACATTTTACTACAGTTATAGATATGAATAATTTTATACGTGATAATAAATGTAACAATGAGTTACACTTTTTAAGAACATTATCAATATGGCTTTGCCAAGACAAGGTGTTATTAATTGTAATACCCAATAATTTTTCTTCAGAGCTACAAAAAATTGCTCTGTTTTATATAAAATACAAGGATTACTTTCATGAATATAATTTTTGCTTGTGTTTTGAGGAAATATACATGACCTTAATTTTGTTAACATTGATAGACATGCGATTCAAATCACACCATTTGTTGGCATTTAAAAGATCATGAGTAAGAGATTCAACTACTCTGTTTAGGGATACATCAGAGGTTGAAAGGGTGGTGTCATCAGCAAAAATATCAGTTTCTGTTTTTTCCATAGACAAAGGCAGGTCATTGATATATATTAAAAACAGTATAGGACCTAGCACTGAGCCCTGAGGAACTCCAGTAGTTACTGAACTTGACTCTGAATATAAACCGGATATGAAAGTTTGTTGGGTTCTGCAATCTAAATAGGAGGAAAACCAAGCAACTGATGAAGGGTCTAGGTTATACATTCTAAGCTTTTCAATAATAATAGAGTGATCCACATAGTCAAAAGCTTTAGAGAGATCAAGGAAAAATTGAACCAACTATTTCATTTTTGTCAATAGCTGTAATCCAATCATCAATAATTCTAATCAATGCTGTTTGACATGAATGATTTGACCTGAATCCAGACTGACGTTGGTATAGAAGTTGATTTTTTCTCAAGGTATTGCTTTAAATGTGAACTGACATGACGTTCAAGAATAAGTGATATCAAGGGAAGTATGGAAATTGGCCTATAATTTCTTTTATCACTTTTAGAACCCTTTTTATGTATAGGAATGACTTTTGCATTTTTGAATGATTTAGGAAATGTATTGTTAAGAATACTGTTATTGAATATAGTGGTAAGTATGGGAGCAATAATATGAGCCGATAACTTTAGAAACCTTGCACTGAGACCATCTGACCCACATGACTTTGTAATATCAATCGATTTTAATTGGTTCAACACATAAGAGAGCTCTATTTTAGGTATTTTGAAAGGGGGTATGTGCTGAAGTTTAGATGCATTAAGTTCAACAAGCTCAGGATTTTCATAACCAGTCTGATTAATGGTATGATGGGATTGGTGGAGATTCACAAATTGTCTGTTGAATAAATTTGCAGTGATTAAAGGGTCAGAAACCGGGTTGCCATCATCATCATCAATAAAATGTGTTTGAACCTTGGATTTGTAACCAGATAATTCATTTAGACCAGTCCATAATTTCTTTGGGTTGTGTTTGTTTTTATTGATGGTATCATTATAATATTGTCGCTTAGAATCATATATGAGAGACTTAACGTGTTGTTTCCATATGTTGTAATTATATGTGTCATTAACCCTATGAAACTGGTGTTTTGTTTTAATAGCATCGAGGATGTTTTTATTAATCCAGTTTGATTGGGTGACCTTCTTTACTCGTTTTTTTCTGGTTGGTGCATGTTTTTCAAGGACAGACAAAAATTTATCAGTGAACAAATCTATAGAGTTATCTTGATTTTCTACAGATGCTACTTCTGACCAGGGTTGCTCTGACAATTCCGTTAAAAAATCGATTTTTCATCAAAGTGTTTAAGAGACCGGAAGGTTATTGTCTTATGCATGGGACCTTTTAACACTGATATTTGAAAGTTTGCGTGTAAGACAAATTGGAAAATGGTCACTAATGGATAAGGAAGGTACAAAAACATCGACTATATTTTGAGGCATGTTTGAAAATGCATGATCTATCAATGTAGCAGAGCTTGAAGTTACTCTGGTAGGAGATTCAACAAGCTGAGAAAAATTTACAGACTGCATTAGATCTAACCAAGATTTAGAACAATTATCATGCTTCAAAATATCATAGTTAAAATCTCCAATAACAATACATTCTTTTTCCTCTAAATATGATTTTTCTAAGGATATAGCAAAATTATTAAGCCACTCAACTTTAGAAGATGGTGGTCTGTATGCATAACACAATAATAATGATTTACATTTAGGCTGTTTAAGTTCAAGCCAAATGGATTCAATAGAAATACTTTCTAAATCAGATCTATGTACAAAAGATAAACAGTCTCTAACATAAATAATTAAACCGCCTCCATTGGAAGGCCTGTCCTTGCGAAAAAGTGTAAAATTGTCCAACTGTAGTTCATTGTCTAGAAAATTTACATTTAGAAACGTTTCACATAAACAGAGTATATCAATCTTTTGTTCTGAAATTATAATTTTAAGTTCGTCTAATTTTGGGTACAAATATAAATGTTAAGATGTAGTATGTTCAACCCTTTATGCGTGTACCAAGAGTTACTATTCTTATTGGAGTCATAGTTTAAAGTATTGTCATTTACAATTTCATTAGTCAAATTAAAATTGGTTTCTCCATATTGAAATGAAATACTTTCACAATTATTTAACGACGGCGGTCCCAAGAATTCTGATTCCTCAGCCATGAAGTTGGTACTGGCATGTAGATCATGTTCTCGTCTCTCCTCCCTGTAAACCTCCCTTTCTGAAAATGAGGACTTGTTGTCCATTTTGTTACTGCTATGGTCTTCAGATGGCATCGTAGATATGCCTATGACATAGTTTATAGCCTTCCTCATGGTTGTTCCAAACAGTTTTCCACCCTTTCTATTTAGATGTAAATAGTCTTTATACAACGACTTGTCTGGAGTACCATGCAGGATAAAGTCAGAGTCATGGTTGATATAGTGGTGACCACCATCTGCACACAGATCTCTAAACCTGTTGTTGGTTTCAGATTAATTGGTGTTGACAAGTTTGTCGTTGTCTTTCTAGGTTGAGAATTTTAAAGGGGGAAATGATTATTTACATTTTGATTGATGGTTTCCAGTTGGGTATTGTATTTTCCTTCCAGCGGGCCCAATTTTAACTATGTACTTTTTTGGCTGGGAATCTGCATCAGAAATATTATTTGTGGCCTACAGATTAAGTAATATTACATCTTTTATTTCCCTTATTTCAATTTTGAATCCTGGGACATTCATCTGATAGGGAAGGTATTTTCATTGTTTTGCGGGTATATCTTCCACCAGATGAGTTCTTATGTTTACTTTCCACATTAAAATTCTACATTCTGTTCGCACTTCGGATAAACCTGTTCACTTGAATAAAACCTGCCTATAAATTGCAGAGTATTAGATTTTGAAATTTTTGATTTTTCCCGTTGGAAACGAGTTTTTTTTTCCCGGCTTTTTTGGTTAATTTTTAGGTCCCTTTTTCAAAAATTTTTCCCGTTTATGTGGCTCAGGCCCAGATCTTTTTTCAGCAGAAACTGTATTTCCGATCTAAAAATTTTCTGTTTAACTTTATTTCATTTCTTTTTCAAAACATTCATCTTTTTTTCAAGTCCCCTTTTAATTTTTTAAATTCTACTTTTCTTTCCTACCAACCTTTCAGGGGGCACACCGTTTCAAATTTTTTTCGGTACCTGTCCTTGGGGTTTTCCAAAGTTTGGGTTTTTGGTTCCCAATTTTTGATCCCGGCCCAGGTTGGGGTTTTCTCTTTGGGAAATGGAACCTTTTTTGCTTTTTTTAAATTTTTTCCCCCTTTGATTCTTCAAAATATTAGACATTAGGGGTTTGCTTTGCTCAGTTTGTTTTTAGTTTTGTTAAAACTCACTTTTAAAATTTTTACACTTTTTCACTTTGTTCAATGCTTCATTGCGTAAAAACACTTACATTTTTGGTAAAAAAAACAGCACATTTGCTTATGATTCAATAATTTGGTTAAGAATAAACTAAACTCATAAATTTACGGGTTTATGGTTACTAAATTGGTATCGCTATTTACTTTAGCCCAATTAAGTCGTCATCTCATGGCAATCATAACCAATTTCGATCCGGGTGTGCTTAACTTATTTCCAGGTTTACAGTTGTATAAAATCATCCATTTAACAGTATTGTATATGACATTAAATAAATCGCTCAAAATAAAAAAAAAATAAAAAAAAATACAACAACAACGGAAAATAACAATGTATTTTTATAAACTTTTTTAATTTGATTTAAAGATACAATCTGTTAAAATTCAAAGTAAGAAGTTAAAAATAAGTGGATTTCTCTGTTCAAATCAATACCAATAAATTAAAACATGTAATAGAATATTTGCTTAATGGGCGCGTCATTACTGACACCAAATAAAGATATTTATAAAAGAAACAGGGTTCGAGTATAAGATTGATATCAAATACGTATTTTATTTCAATACCATTATTAGTACAAGTATTTTCAAATCGAAATTGATATAAAAAGTCGGGAGAATCTGCAGGGAAGACATATTATTTTTTCTAATTTGTCAGATTGTGTGAAAATAAGCATAGCAAGAGTTTGAACATTAGAAGTCTTGTATTAGAATTTAGTGTCCTCAAGAAAGAAAACTCTTTTGACTGCTAAGGTGAATATGAAAGTCAGTTTTTTTTTCACTCGGGCATGTTCTAGTAAAGTAAACACCAAACTGGGGGGCAGCTGGAGCTCCCTCCATTTTTGGTGTAAAGTAGCACTCCAGTTTTTACAGTGTACGTATCCTATTTCTTCGTCTGTATCCGCGACGACATTCACGTCGGCTGAGTTGTCTATCACCGTCGTAGAAATGACCAACACAGCTTGGTTCACAGGCGTTATCATTTCTGAAAGAAAAGTATGGCATTACAAACGTTAAGTTATATAAATAAACACAATGTGCAGTTGTTTTCAATTTTAAGTATGAAACAATTTAAGCAAGCACACCATAAAATATGTTTGTGACACAGTTTCTTAAAACGTTTTCAGTATTCAAAATATTTTATTGCATCCTCTACATGTATATCCTATGATAATTAATTTATATATTAAGTAAATACATTTTTTATGACATTCAAATTTTGTTTAAACTCAAAATAGTTTTACAAAGAGATGGGTCGATTTAACACACGTTAAGTCCGTAACATTTCCATTAGTCCTACTATTTAATGAAAACCTAATTAAATGTGAAAGTAATCGTGGCCGTTGAATCCTTTTATGATGATCATGTCGTCAACATGGCCAACACATTTAGGAGTATCGTCACCTTAGTGCAGTAACGGGTTAATTCCCTCTAAATTTACTATGATTGCACTAAGATGAAGGTATGTAAATTACCTGCATTCTGCTTGTGGAAAGGCACGGCATCTCATTACACTACATGGATTAACTAAACAACGTAATGTCGGGCTTCCCTCGGGACATTCGCCTGTAAACAAGTCAATATTATAAAATAATTCATATAAAGTAATTCATATAGATAACTGTTGGATGTTTTGATTCTTTTGTGTCATTTGAACACCAGTCTCAATAACTGCCTTAAGTAAATTTTCGCCAAATTTGTAAACACGGTCAACTCTTTGAACACATGAAGCAATGTTGTATAGTAAAGAAGCCTTTGCGTCAATGCAGTCACTTAATGAAGTAAACAGTTTCTATAAAAAATAAAATAAATTGATCATGTCGGTTTTATCCAATAGTTATATTTGCCGAGTACAAATTCTTAACTTTAGCACTTTTTTCAAAATATTAAGTAATTACACTTTACTATTGCCCCGGGTAAAAAAGTAAGATGTTTAGAAATACACATCTACGTGTATTTTTTACTCATACCCTTTTCAACATAAATGAACTTCGATGCATTTGAAAAGGAAATTCAACTTACTAACTGTTTTGCTAGGAAACTTTTAAATATGTTAATTGCACATTACCTTCGTTTGGGTCGACGTTGCCATGGCATTCCTCCTGAGACAGTTGCCGTTGTTCTCCGGTGTAATAGTGCCCAACACAGTAGGGGTTGCACGGATCATCATTACTTAAAAAAAACATATACAATCACATATCAATATATGAGCCGCGTCACGACAAAACCAACATAATGGGTTTGCGACCAGCATGGATCCAGACCAGCCTGCGCATCCGCTCAGTCTGATCAGAATCCATATTGTTCGCTTACAAACACTATAAAAAGTAGAGAAACTGATAGCGAACAGCATGGATCCTGATCAGACTGCACGGACGCGCAGGCTGGTCTGGATCCATGCTGGTCGCAAACCCATTATGTTGGTTTTGTCGTGACACGGCTCAATTTTACTTCTTAAGAAAGAACAAGCATGTGTTTTATAAAGTTTAAATAATGGTTTTAGAGCATGTTGGGTGCTTGTTACCTGAAAAAAAGCAACGCCGCTAAATGTGAAATATTTGTCATATACGTACATGTAGTAAAATGTAAACAAAGTAGTACTTTGACTTCCATACAAAATACTAAATCACTACTACTGAAATAATTGCCAAAAAGCAACAGAAGCAAAAATGATTCGGGAAATGTTAAAAAAGTGCAAATCGGCACAACTCGTGACTTATCTTGCCATTTGACCAAAAAGCTTTGAATATTTACATGCCAACATGAAGAACAAACTTTGACAACGAGCAATGCTTTTGTGGGAAGAAAGATACAAGCTCATCAATTTACAGAATTCGTTACGTGTTAATATTGATTGATGACGTCACAGTATAGCCTCCGTCATGTCTACAAGTATATAAACTTTCAACCTTTTGCTTCTTCACAATACACATGTAAAGGAATTTTATAATTTGCTGGGTAAATATTCATGTATTTCATGTACAAAGGCATTGTACGCTTAAAGTACTTGGATATTTTATACGTCAGCACTGTATGAACGCTTATTCTCTTCAACAGTATTTTAATCAATATTTAAGTTCTTGTATCCTTCTTGAAATCCAGTATTTTTAAAATGCATTTTGAGGATTCGAAAACATGTATACAAATATACAAATAATTACAGCTACTTACACACACACAGCGTCGGGATAGTTGGGACATCCATTCGGAGTACTACAAGGGTTTCTTAAACAGCGAATGGCATTTGGTTGTGCACACCGAGCTACAAAAATATATGCATGTTTTAGTTATACTAAAAGGATATTTCAGCTTTCATTGTATGTAAGTAAATTTGAAAATATATATGTAAATTTGATATATTTTGTAAAATAGCTTTAGCATTACGTTATTATAAAAAGTGTGCAACAAAATGAAATTAGATAATATTCAAGTAATGTAAACATATAATAAGAAAGGAACTTATATCTTATTACCTGGCCTGTGGCGGGGTCTATTTCTTCCTGAAAATGGTTAAAAAAGTGTGATAAAATAACCTCAATTCCGTTTAATTTACGGAGTTTCCTGTTTTATTATTTATTTTTTATTTATCTTATTTATTTTTTTGATATATTTCCTTATTTCTATTTATAAATTATCCTCTTTTTTGTAAATGTTTAGCAGTCTACGTTATTTTAATAATAATGATAAATAAAACAGAAAAAAAAATATTACAACAACAGCAACATTTACAAACAATAATTACACTGTATAAAAGACAAAGCAAGCTTTAAAATTGCAATCGTGACTCACCATAGTGGTAACCTTGAGCACTGGAGGCTATTATACACCCCAATAAAATCAGGGCAACAATTTTAAAATCCATCAAATAGTTTACTCCTGGTTCCTTCTCTAGAATTTTCAGTGAAATGAGTTGTTGAATGTAAGTAAAACGAGTCTGATAAAAATACGAGGTAGAGAAAAATCTTTGCCAAGAATACAAACCACTTAACCTGTCAGCAAATGCTAAATTTTCCCATACACATGCCAAGAAAGCCTCAACTGTATAGATAAAATTTGTTATAAGGGGAGAAGTAAATATAAACATCACGTTTTCTGTTTTACTTGTTTTTTTTCTTTGGCACAATCTTTTCAAATTATCAATATAGTTTGTTGTTTTAAGTGCAATATGAAACGTATAACTTGGCGTGCTGAAGTACATGACATCCAATTCCCAAACATGTCAAGTTTTATTTATTTACTTTTGTTTCGTTGTTTGTTTGTTTCTTCTTATTATGTTATCTATTTTTTATTTTCTGTGATATTGAATCACCACGACAAATAAGCTTAAAGGAAATCCATCCGCGCAGTCTGATCAGGATCCATGCTATTCGCTTACCAACTCTATTACAAGCAGAGAAACTGATAGCCAACAGCATGGATCCTGATCAGACTGCGCGGATGCGCAGGCTGGTATGGATCCATGCTGGTCGCAAACGCATTATGTTGTTTTTGTCGTGACGCAGCTCATTTGTAATTACTATTGAAAAACGGAGGGAGCGAATGATCTGGAAATTTGCACCCAAGTTATTGGTCTAGACCTACAACAAATAGATCTCGAAAAATTAATTTCAGTCACATGATGAAAACAATTTTCAATGGAATCTCTTAAATTGAATAACGATTCATAATGAGCAAACGGATGACGTTAATGTACTAAACTGTTTGCTGCTGGGCTGGCTGATTCCGTCAAAATAAATCAATGTGAACTATAACCAATGTATGTGTTGAAGCTTATCCTGTATATGTTTTTAATTAAATGCTGAGCACCATGTTGCATAAATAAACGATGCATATATTTTTGCTAAATGTTTCACATAATATGCCATAATGTGTTGTGAAGAAAAACTTTTATTATCTGTGTCATAGTAGAATACGTACAAATATTTGTCGATTTTGAAGGGTTCAAGAAATTTTGGTTTTCTTTTTTTCTAAAAACCCGGGTTCTCTTGTTTTATTCCTGTAGAAAATTTGTGTGTTTTCTCGGGCGGGCCGTAAAATTTACATTAATACAAATTTTCCCACCAATTTAAAAAATTAAATTTGAAAAACCCCCCTGCTATTTATTCATATTTCTTTTTTTTTGCTAACGTCATAAAAAATTTTGAACCTTTTATTTCTCCCCCAGGACCATTAAAATTTAAAAATGTGTTTTAAATGTAAAAAAGGTCTAATATTTTTAAACCCAATTACATATTTTTGGGGCCCCCTTTTTTTGTTGAAAAAGTGTCGGGAGTTAAATCGTTTTCCATATCATTTTGAAACATTTCGGGGTTTAACTGGAGCGCAGGTGTCATTTTACCCGCACTCCAGATCACCCCTTTGGGTTTTGGGTTTCATTTTTGTTTGGGTTTTATTTAATTTTTGGACGGCGGGAGAAAGGGAAAGGGGCAAAAAATTTATCATTTTCCCAAATTTGGGTCTTTTCCCATTGGTTTTTTTTTTCGGGGTTTTTCATATTTTTAAACAACAGGGAAACGTCCCTTTCATGTTTGACTATGATACAAAGAGAAAGAACACCAAAACACTCGGCAATCTCATTTATACTCGGGGGCTACGCCCCCTCGTACAAATCAGATAGCCTCGTGTTTCGGTACTCTTTCTATTACTAAAATCAAGTTGTTATTGTAATAATGCTTGCAAAAAAAGCCAGTGTATTCTGGAATGAGGGAACCATGCTTACTTCATCATTGATAATCATTTATTTATTATAGGTTTTCTTTCATCATTACTTTAACGAAGTCTTATGATTAATGTTGTAATTTGACTACATATTTCTGGATATATGCATTTTAATTGAGCTGCATTGTGCTTTATCTATTTCCCCCTGAATGGTGGTTTCCGTTGTTGCCAAGGCGAAAAAAATAAATAAACCTGGACAAAGAATCAAGTGTTTTTAAAAATTTAATTTTGATTTTAAATTAAAATAAGTTATCGAGGCATTTTTCCCCGTGGGGAATTTTTTCATTGGGGTTTTAAAAACGGAAACCAAAACTTGCACCCGTGATTTCCGGATGGGTTTTGGGAAATACCCCAGGGTAGGAAAACTATGAAAATCGGCTTTTATGGCAATGTGCCCGAAAACTTTTTAGTTTGAAAAAAATTTGATTTAATGCTTAAAAATTTTGCAGCTGTATTTATTTCTATAAAATTTCTGGGATTTGATACCAAATTTTCCACTTTTTTTGTTCTTTGTAAATTTACAGAAAAAAAACCCAAATGCACCACGTTCCCTTTTCAGAAGAGTAACTACATTCCTAAACATTTTTCCCATGGTTTTTTTGAAAATTTAAAATAAGGGATGTTCAAATAATTTTATTGTCGTTAAATGTCTGTAACACTCGTAAGAGGTTGACACTTTACAAAAAGAGAGAGATATTTGATAACTATTAATCTTAATCTTCAGCTGCACACTCGTCCGTTGACAGCAGACGACGTCCCAGGTAATATTCCCCAACACAGTACGGCTCACACGGATCACTGTTTCTATAAAATAATGAGAACTAAAATAAAAACGTAATGGTAGGATGCTAGGATATAGTCCTATTAAAATAGAAGGATTCGAGAAATTTAATGATAAATTAATGTAAGTACTCCATACATGTGATTTGAAGCCCTTAATAAGTGTAAAAATAACAGTCAATAACATAATAAGCCTATGATATACCAGTATCTAAAAAGATATTCTAGTAAGTTGATTCAAATGAAGTTAAATACTTCAGTTGAACTTTAAGTACGACAATACCACGTGAAATTAACTTTGGTCTCTTCACAATCTGAAAACAATGGTATTCTGATCTAAAAACACTTGTATTGTATATCCAACATTGTAATTTTGAAAAAAATAGAACATATACGAGCCCCTCGTATAATTAAGAACCAATTGTACATTTTCCTTCCATGATATATCATTTGTGAATAAAAGTTTCAAACTCGGCGTTGATAAATAATTGTTCTCAGTGTTCTGGATATATGCATTTTAATTGAGCTGCATTGTGCGTTATTTTCTTGCAAATTATGGGGATTTTTAAATCAGTTATTTCAATAGAATTCATATTGTATTGGTTTTGCTATACTTACAGGCATACGGCACGTGGATAGGCCGGACATTTCTTAATGTTACAGGGATTCTCCTTACAAACCCTGGGCTTGGCGTTCGGACACCATCCTACAATAAGCAAGTAAGTATTTTCTAAGTAATCACTTAGAATATACAAGACAGAAACAAAGATGTTGGTTCGTTAGCATTTTTAGCAAAATCCAACTATTTCCTATCGCTGTAGAATACCATAAATCTGCATATACATGTACTTTCAAAATTAAGTACTAGTTTTCATTGAATAGAAAATCCAATATTATCATACGTAATAATTTTCTTGTTTGGGTTCTTTATATCAGATAGTTATATATAATGTACATTAAATGGATTCTACTGAGGTTTCATGACATGATGGGACTGGAAATATGTTTTAGATATTAATGTTCCATTTGACGAATGTCTAAGTCAAAAACTTGTGTTTAAACTTTCAGACCACCCGCTTCTTTCTGTTTTAAGTGCCCGGCTGATTTATCTAAGAAATTCAAATTCTATTTTTGTAGGCTATTGTACCTCAGTTGAGTTCCTTTAATACAATATATAGTTTCTTTTCTTTTTTGTGTGTTTACATAGTTATATTTTCATACTTACGCGGAATCTTCACCTTTCTCCTCTATTGAAAACAAAAAGAATCAAAATTTAAAAACAATTATTTATTTGTCATCCATACTTTAAAAGAAGAGTTGACACCGATTTTCAGACATTATACAAAAGAGCTTAACATCAAAGTATAATTATAATGAATGCTACATTTGGTATCAATTAAGCAAAAAAAAAAACGTTTACAACTAATTATGTAAAAAGTATTCTTTATGCAAATAAAAACGTTATTCTCTTGGCTAAAATGTTTTTGGTATGATAACATTATGTTAACACGTGACAAAATAATTGTGTTAGAAAGAAGTCATTAGTTATTGCTACCTTTTTCCCTTTGCATTCTCTTTTGGACAGCGTTGGTCTACCCTCTATGTAGAAATTACCTTTACACGCTGGTTCACATGGATTATCATTCCTGTAAAAGAATGCTAGTTTAGATTAGAATAATCCACTGTATCTGTTGAATTGAAATTTACAAAAACGGTAATGTATGAATAGGTTGATTAGCATTAAAGAAAGAACAAATATGACGCCATAAGGGCATGTTTGTAAGGGCATGTCACACTATTACAAAAATGTGCGTGATAAAAACCCGCAAGCTTTGTTAAGGAAAAGTATGCTCTGGAAATGGAAAATGATAGCACATGCCAATATGCAACATTGCAGCAAGAATAAAGCTAATATTTTTTTTTGTTAATATCTGGGAAATCTTTTTCAAAAAAAAATCACCCGTATGTGCCAAGACTTAAAAATTAGTCAACGGCATTATGTAACTGCTGATGAGAGAAAAAGGCACGTAAACGTTATGTTCTCTTTACGCATTAGATAGTGTGACTGGTGTATACAAATATCTTGTCATAACTTACAGACACACTGCGTTTGGGAACGCAGGGCATTTCATGACGTCACACGGGTTTACAAAGCAGTTTAACCGAGGACTTCGTCGGCGGCACCATTCTGTAAACAAGATTTATTACAAAAAAGGATCATCAAGTGATATATCATGAAATATAGCCTTGCTGATATAACCATAAGCCCACGGCTTGCGCCTTGGGTTATATTTTATCGCATTCCGGCTATATTTTTCCATGTGTCCCTTCAGCAACTTGTTAAAGTAATACTATTATATGTACTGTTTATAGTGTAATGCTAAATCTACAATTTTAGCATTGGATTCGTTTAATTTGATATGATTTATTTAAAACTACTTTTAATGGACATGGAGTATTCTTACTAATGTAACAAAGAATCATAATAATATGTAGTTCGAATGATACACTTGCAAAAACACCCAAATTTCACAATAAGTTGGATTTTAAGATACAAATGTATACATTTCCCCGGATTCTTGGCCCATAGCAAAATTTAAATTGGAATTTTTTACCTTTTAAAATAAAGCACATTTTTTAAAAAAGCTCAATGTTTTTTTTATCATTTACTCTTGATTGGGTGTTGCTTTTAACAAATTTTTTACATCTTTTTAAAACGTTTAATCGAGAAACTGTTTTTTGTGCTAGATTGTATACTTTATTTATTAAATAGCGCATAAAATTTGGGAAAAATATAAAAAAAATTTTAAAAAAGTATGATTAAAAATTTTTATGAAATAAACCCGCTATATTTAGTTAATGCCAAAAAAGACAAGAAAACATTTTTTGACCATATTTATGAAAATTTTAAAACCCGAATAATTAGTTAAAATAAGACAGAAAAACTTGTGGGGAAATTATTATACTTAAGTGGCATTAACTGGAGATTTATCCTTAAAATGTATGAGTATTTACCCCAATTATCAAGGTTTTCAAAAAAAGACTAATGATGTATCAAATATAGATATATGCGATTGATAGGACACTCGGTACTTTTTTTCAAATGTCCCTCAATTCAAGACCGATAGTAAAAGTTATAAAATATGTTGTTCATACTCAGGGCAAGATAACTATTGAACAATTAAGATATTCATTTGTTGTGATATTAGAACATATTTTTAGCCGAAGACCTTTAAAATCAATTTGACTACCTGTAGAACTTACAGGGGGGAAGGGGGGGGGCTTAATATATGAGGAATTTCCATTGGTTATTTTAAATTACAAATTGAAATTTCCATTGGTTATTTTAAATTACAAATTGAAATCGGGGAATGTCATTTGCTATTCTAAAATAAGATATAAATGACAGTTCTTGGCATTCTAACAAAAACAAATAAAAGATAGTTCTAAAATTAAAAGTACAGGATAGTTCTTTAACTTTCTAGTAAAATTGCTGGAATATTTAAGCTCTGTTTAACAATACTTCCTCCCACAAAACTCATTACATTTTCTAGTGAACAGTTTTTTTTTACACAATTACTTACTGAGCTATATTTTTTTCCAAAATACCGAGACCACCAAGAAAGTTTAAACGATTATGTAAGGTTACTCATAATTTAAGTTCTATGTATATAATTTTTTTCTTAACTACAAGAAATTATAATGACATTGTCATGCAAGCATTGGTTACATTTCTGTACGTATCGAAAACTTGTAAATAACTAATGCAAGTTAACTAGTTTTACTTCGGCCATGTGTCTTTTTAAAAGATTTTTCTCATTTCATATAAGTAATTAAATACCATTAATCATGAGTCTGCTGGTGGCATCTGTTCGAACAGTGCCTTCTTATCTTCGTTAACACTATTCGCTGTTTACTTCATGTTTGGTTGATTTTCTTAAAAATGGTTTTGTCCAGATTTGAAAATAGACAAATGCAGCTAAGATATTTGGCGAAATATGGATCAAATACCTAACAATGAGATGGATGTAAGAAAATCTTAAACAATTATTATCTAATGCAAAGTATTCTTTGATGTGTTTATAACTACAATATTAAATGAGCAGTTAATACAAATAGTAGTAGTAGTACAAATAATGTTCGCAAGTAATTTTTGCTTCTTGCCAATCGTAATAAGTCATTAAGTATATTTTTTCAAAGCAAAAGAAACATTTCAGTGTCAAAGTTAGCAAACATGCGTGGATTATAAGCATCTGTCGCGTCCGATATTGTTCTTATATATATTTCCATATAAGGTAAACATTTATGAACAAGGGCAACATTGTTCGCAAAGCTTTTATTCTTCATAGGGACATTTATAGTAATAAAATCTAGGTTACTTGTATTAATAACCTTGAACAGCTGGCATCATAGTTCAGCTGAACATAGAAATATCTTCTTGGTGGTGAATAAAACCAGTTCTTTAACTTAAATACACTATATATATATAATTCATAATTATTTTAGGACATGATATTTATTGCGATAATATTAAAGGGACTCATTGAGGTTTTTTGGCGTGAAGGGACCGAAAATATTTTTTTCAAGATTTTTGAATAACTAGATGTATGTTTAGACCAATAGCTCATGTACAAAATTTAAGATCATTTAAGTGGACCAGTGGAATTAAGAAAGAATTTCAAAATTTATCATTTAAGGCTTTTGGACCTCAGTGGAGTTCCTTTAAAACAGTGTAAAAGCACTCTCTCTATCAGAGCTTTTTTAACATTTTTTTTTTCATTCTCAAAAACAGCTTTTACCTGATAATTCTTACATTATAGAACATACAAGAAAAGCATTGATGCAAAGCATCAAAGGGCGTCCAAGCAAGAAATGCAGCAAGTGAAGATGAACTAGTACACATATGATGACAAGATATTCTTATAAACTACCAGAAATGTATATCACTTATGAATGAGCGGACGAAAGACATTGTTCATTATGAACTTTGATTGGCATGCTAGAGATTAGAATATTACTTGTTATTTCTTTATGATCGTGGTTATTAATAGCCACGGATATGTTTTTATTTGTTTTTAGTTTTGTTATACTGGGCGCCGGTTTCCCATATGTCCCAGACTAGTCGGCCTCTATTACGATTGCTGGTAACGTAGAGCCTGCAACGGAGGACTTATTCGCCTGCAACGTCGTCGATGTCGTAGAGCCGCGACGGAGGTCTTCTCAAGCTGTCGATCGTCGTAGGCCCTCTCTAGGACCAAATTCTCTCGCTTGTTGAACAAATGACAATAGGAGGAAAGGCACCTCTTCCGGGAGCAGCAGCTCTCTTTAGGGCCACACCCTTCGTCGTTGGTTAGGTCACACCAGCTAAGTGACCTAACTAGGTCACCCATCTGGTGTGACCTATGCCTTCCGAGCGACGTGCACGCCACGAAGGGAAGTCGGAAGGTCCACGGATATACATGTATGCAATCATTTATAATCCATATGTGTAACGCATGATCAACACGTACCACACCTTTGTAATTGTCCCTTATTATGTTATCGCTATTAGCGAAGATCCCCTCTTAAGGTATCTGTTCACACTTTAAGTTAGTAAAAATATGACACTGGTTATATTACCATGTTATTAATAATTGTAATATCTATTAATTTTAATAAAAAAAAAAATACAAATTTTATGAATATTGTTTTCTTTTCTTTTTTGTGTTTTATGTGCTATTTTAATACTGAGTTTTTACTACTCTTTTTTTATCAAAATTGTAAAATAAATTTTAAGAATTCAGTTGTCATATTGACCGACGATTATAAGTCAAAACTTAACTGGAAAAAGTCAGTAAATTATGGTTTATCTTTCAATATATAATATTGTTTATTTTTAAACCATGTACATGTACATTTGTATTTTTCTTTATCATTTTTTAAATTATCAGTCAATTGAATAATTCATAAAATCTAATTTGTAACTTTGAATAATTCCTCGGCATCTTTACTAAACACGGATAACAAATTAAATAAAATGTTTCAAAGTTGATAATGTCATTTTAATACCATAAAAATGTACCTTTTTCTCAATTATTGTACATATCACGGATTTATATTATATATAAAATAAATCCGTGTACATATTTATTGTTTTTATCTCATATAGATAAAATGAAACATGCTATTGTTGTTTTTTTTTCTGATTGTAACGATATCAAACATCTACTCCAAAACCGGGAGAGACAGGACAATAAACGTCCGGTCACTAGTAAATCCCGGTCAAAATAGACCGGGAGAGACCGGTAATTACCGATAGGAGTGATAAATAGATATATCTATAAATAGATTTTTGGAATATTTAGGCCATCAACTGATCTTTCTAGGATACATGTCCAACAATAACATACCATGATAACCCACTGTGTACTACAAAATGATTAATAAAAAACCCCGAATAGCGCGATTTATTGACGGAAAAGGTTATTTCATTTGAAAATGTTTGCATTGCGAAATTCTCCAGTTCGCTATTCATTGTAACATATTGCGACATTTCATTCTTAATTAATAATCAAGCACCCTCCTACCGATCGGAATGATCGGCTTTTATTATGACCGACTAAAAGGCTCGAGAAGTTGCTGTCGCCCTTTCACAAAATCTGATTTCATTCCATAAGGGCGCCGCGCTAATCAATTGAATAATTCATAAAATCTAATTTGTAACTTTGAATAATTCCTCGGCATCTTTACTAAACACGGATAACAAATTAAATAAAATGTTTCAAAGTTGATAATGTCATTTTAATACCATAAAAATGTACCTTTTTCTCAATTATTGTACATATCACGGATTTATATTACATATAAATCCGTGTACATATTTATTGTTTTTATCTCATATAGATAAAATGAAACATGCTATTGTTGTTGTTTTTTTTTGTAATTGTAACGATATCAAACATCTACTCCAAAACCGGGAGAGACAGGACAATAAACGTCCGGTCACTAGTAAATCCCGGTCAAAATAGACCGGGAGAGACCGGTAATTACCGATAGGAGTGATAAATAGATATATCTATAAATAGATTTTTGGAATATTTAGGTCATCAACTGATCTTTCTAGGATACATGTACAACAATAACATACCATGATAACCCACTGTGTACTACAAAACGATAAATAAAAAACCCCGAAGAGCGCGATTTATTGACGGAAAAGGTTATTTCATTTGAAAATGTTTGCATTGCGAAATTCTCCAGTTCGCTATTCATTGTAACATATCGCGACATTTCATTCTTAATTAATAATCAAGCACCCTCATACCGATCGGAATGATCGGCTTTTATTATGACCGACTAAAAGGCTCGAGAAGTTGCTGTCGCCCTTTCACAAAATCTGATTTCATTCCATAAGGGCGCCGCGCTTCGGCGCGGACGCCAATAACTCGATGTTTTAACTAGAGACTATACTATAACAGCATGATAAATGTTCAACGGGAAAATAATTCTGTCAATTTGTACAAAATTATGACACGAAAGTACGTTTCGCAAAGCTTTCCAGTACTTAGAATCATATAAAATTTGTTAAAGAATCAATATCTCAAACAATCGAACGGATCAAAGTTATTGGAAAATGTATAAAACATCTTGCATTGTCGAATTTTCGTTGGTTTTAGAAACTTATCATTTATACTTGTATTCTTCACAAATCACTATTAAGTAATGTTCATTTCACATGTTAAATGAGATCTACTGAGGTTTAAAAAAACAACCTAAAAATTTTGAAAGTTTGACATGGAACAAGTCAAGCACTTAAAATGGAAAATGGTAAAATCTGCAAAGGATAGTAAAGAATATAATAGCCGCGTCACGACAAAACCAATATAATGGGTTTGCGACCAGCATGGATCCAGACCAGCCTGCGCATCAGCGCAGTCTGATCAGGATCTATGCTGTTCGCTTACCAACTCTTATACAAGTGGAGAAACTGACAGCGAACAGCATGGATCCTGATCAGACTGCGTGGTTTTGTCATGACGCGGCTCATATTTAGAATTAAATTTTATATCAATTTTTCTTTTTGCGATTCTTAGCCCGATTTCAAAAGATAATGGTCGCAACGCTTTTCATTTTTTGATCAATTTGTCCAATAAAAATGATAATTCTGGCGAGGAATGAACTAAAAAAAGGGTATCTGTCCAGACCTACATCAAATGGTACACAAATCTCGAAAATTATTTCCAGTCAAGAAACCACAGTTGTGTCCCTTTAAAGTTTAGTATGTCATTGTTCGAAAATGTCGAAAGAGTAATACGAAATGAATATTCAAATTAAGATGAAAGGATACCTGGCGTGTAATATTGCAATTCTTTAATCATTTGAATACATAAAATAATTATTTTTGCTTTAAATGAATAAAAAAATCCATTTCGGTTAAAAAGTGGTTCATATATTCAGAAAATGATTTATATGAAGATACAATGAAAAACAGTATGATAAAAGATAAACAATTAAAATGTTCTCCACGTAATCGAATTGATTAATCGTGTCATTAGTGAAACGTTATTCTATCGCACTGGTAATAAACTATCGCTTTTTTATACAATTATGCTTCATCATCGGTATTCTAAGAAATGCAGGAGAAAATTATTTTATTACACAGATGTCATGATAATTATATTTTCAAGTATTCACGGGAACAGGGTATATTTGAAAGACACTGACAGGAATGAATGTTTTTAGATACATGTTGATATAAACAAGAAAAATACATGGTAATAGTAGGTCAATGAGATTAAGTGCAAAGGAATAAAGAAACGTCTATCAAAACTCTTTAAAATCAGCAGAAATCTTTCAGCAACATTAATTATCGACTCTTCCAAATGGAATTACGACATAACGATATTACTAGGAAATGTTTAATGTAATATACATGTATTGTTTGTCGAGCATGCGCTCACTTTAACTTTTCATTTATTGTTCAGGAACTATCAAGATGTTCAGGTGAAAGTTTGGAATGACTTTACATTTTGTAATATTTGCCTGATAATCAATAACCACGTGACCCACATTAATATCTTTAAAAAAATCCTTCTGAAATTATCGGTTATGTTCAATTTATGGAAATAGTAGTGCAGTCTAAGGTAATCTTTTTATATTTAAGACATCTTTTATATTTTTTAATTATCAATAATTGTTCAATTGCAAATAAAAGTACATGTTTAAAAATGTAAATCCTTTGAAATGTATCTCAGCATGTAAGTATAAAAAGGGCATAATGCCACTGTAAATAATAAAGATCATATTTTTTTCTTCTTTTTATTCAGAATTTGAAGATATTTTATCAGTTAACATTGCAGTTAATAACTTATGCATGTAATTATTTTTTGCAACATGTGATCCTGGCATTTTAGTATTCGCGTGTCTTTTAATTTCCTCTTCTGCCCTGACATTCAGCTTGTGAAAGTCTTCTTACCCGACCTCCTCGACGACGTATATAGAAATTGCCGCTGCAGGACGGCTCACAGGGATTATCAGCTCTGTAGCAAATAAAACAAGGCTTTAAAAGTGCAAGTAACCGTTCGTAAGGTGCTCATGCCAAATTATTGCAGTCATAATTTTTTCTTTACCTAATAATAATCAACTTTGACGTATATAACAACATTAAAATAATGATTGAAAGGGAAAGACTACAAGTGAACCCAATACATATTTTACAACATCAGCGACCAAACATGATGATAATATATACACATACAAAAAGTGGTGTCAGTTCTTTTTTGTGATACAAAAAATAAAAGCAATTTATTATATCTTGTTACTAAAGCATTAATTTGCATTTACAATACTGTCAATGAAATAATCAAACAATTTTAGTTGACAGTCTTAACCTTTTTTCTTCCAAAAGTAGATAAAAATACTTTTTTCAACTTTTTTTCGTTCAGAGTTTACAAATCTAACTTGTTAACTTACAAACATTTAGCTCTTGGATATCGTGGGCATGTCAGTACACTGCATGGGTAGGCGAAACATCTTATTCGTGGGCTACCCGCAGGGCACCAGGCTTCAAAAAAATCAAATCACAGATTTGGTAACAATATCATACATTTTACTTACCAAAAAGAAAAACGAGATTCGAAACAAACTTAATACTCAAAATTATGATATTTTATTACAATGAGTGTGGTAATGCTAACCTTTTTTCTGGAAAATCATGATAAAAATACAAATGTCAGTTTTGAAAATTCGAGAAAAAAGGTAAAAACTGACGAAAAAATGAGACTAAGCGTTTCAAATTAGACTTATAAATATTTGAATATAAAATAAATATAAAATAATAAAGAAAATATAATGTATACAACTGTACAACGGTTTCCTGTTGGTTTACCTGGTATCCCTGGGGGATTGTGTCCTGAAATAAAATGGAAACGAATTCAATGAAAAAGATCTGTCTTTAAAGAACAAACATATTTAAACGATACTTCTTTCTATAAAATATTTAATACAATCGTTGAAACATTGTTCATGTAGTTACATTTGAAAACAGAAAAAAGACCTGTAAATAGTACTATAATAGTGATAGTAGAGCAGCTGTCTGCTCACCTAAAGACGCAGTCAAAATAATAGTAACAGATTTTTTAAGTCACATTTAAGGCGATAAAAACAGAACGATACATACAAGTTTATTTTATCCCCGATGAATTACCCAAAGATAAGTTACCAACAACAATTTACACAATGTAAGAAACAACAACAAAGAAACATTTGCATGAAGAAATGTCTCTTTTCATACTAACCTCCACCATTACACTCCCTTCTAGAAAGCCTTGATCTTCCTTCTATATAAAAATGACCGCTACAGGACGGCTCACACGGGTTGTCATTCCTTAAAAGATAATTATATGAAAAGTCCATTTTTTTGTTCTTTTTTCTTTTTTATTGTTGTTGTTATTTGGCGGAGGTCGGGATGTTTTCATTTTTCGTGTGTGGGGGTGGGGGGGGGGCTGAGAATTTTTGTTTGTTTGTATTTCTGTATCAACCAATGCCACGCACACCTTGACATGAAGATAACGCACACAGAAATACGAAGCCAAGCAGAAGCAGTGACATCAATTTTTCAAAAAGTATATAGTACAACTGAAGAAAAGAAGTAGCAGCAAAACCCAGTGCGACTAGAAGTTGTATTGCTGTTCGTGTAGGTTCAAAAACCGGTCATATGCTAGCCGTTGTTTCCTTTAGCAAACAAATTTAACTGGTTGGTTCCAGAAGCAGATTCGGTGGTGTATCTATAAGCTTATAGTTTTCTACACAATCAAACTGAGAAACATTCTGTATGACCTCACTGAAGAGAAAGAAGTACGGCCGCCAAATGGGGCGTGTTGTATATATAACAGTTCAAGCTATGTGAACAATTCAAAATAATTGCTTATCAATATTAGCGATCATTGCATGGACATACATTTTAAGGTATTACATATAAATCACTAGCAGTAACTTTTTGTTACAAAAGAATTCAAAACACGTACAGACAAATTGCTCCAGGAAAAGATGGGCATCTATCTACATCACACGGGTTGGCAAAACAACGTATCCGTGGACTGCCAGGCGAACACCATCCTACCAAACATTAATTAAAGTTCACAAAATGAGTTATCCATAAAATCCAATATAATTGCAACTCAATAAAGGTGAGTTAACACTTATTTAGTTAACAGTAGGGGATTGTGTTGTGACTATACGTTAACAATATTTAGAAATCATCGAAACAATGTTGTTTGTATATAAAATATTTGGCTACTTGTGTTCAGAACTGTTCTAATAACGAGAATAATGAGTTTTTCAGTTATGTAAATGTACAAATAAAATTTATCTAGTTGGAAAAAAAGAATACATGAAATATTTACAAAATATAAAAAGACCTATACAATACTTGGTATTCTTCCACCTACAAGGAAAATAAAAATGAATTTAAGTTTGCTGTTAATTTCGCACAAATAAATACATGTATCAAGAAAAAGTAGTACATACAATAAACAATTCAACATTGTCATATTAAAAAAACGAGTATAAGATGTTAACAACTATGTTGATGTAACATTAAATGCGCAGGCTGGTCTGAATCCATGCTGGTCGCAAACGCATTATGTTGGTTTTGTCGTGACACGGCTCATTTAGGAACACTGATCGCCGTATATTTTGTAAGTATTCGTGAAATTTATTACTTTTACTGTCGTTATAAATGCATTTGTACTATATCCGTTTAAATATGTACGTATATTTTCGTAATATATAAAATGCGTCTGTGACAATCGTGTCGCGCTGTTAATGGTATATATTTGTAATTAATGATTTTGTTTTTCCTTGAGGTTAACATTTTTTAACGACGATAGAAGAACATTTAAAAAACATGTCTCAAACAACAAATAAAGTGAAACAATTTAAGGACAATGTTGCAGGTTACAGTCCGGTGCTTTTAATGTTTTGTTTGTTACAGAGTATCGGTTTCAGCGAGAGACATAATCTGGACATTGTGGGTTCGATTCCCGGACTGGCCAACTAAAATTACTAATCAGTCTTTCGGATGAGACTTTAAATCGGGGTCCCGTGTATGAGTACTTAAACACGTGGCACGCTAAAGAACCAGGAGAAGCTACTGGAATCGGGGCATCTTTCTGTATCAGTATCTCGCACTATCCTCTAAAATCTAAAATGACTAATACTCTTCTGGAGGACTCGTCCATAAGGGCAATCGGTGGCGAGTATAAATAAACTCAAATACACACATTTTTAATGTTAATGCGATTTTTTGTTTAAATGACAAATTGTTCTGGTCCCCAGACTTCTTCCTTACCTATATATTTCGAATAGTTAAAAAGTGTATGTAGTTTTAGAGATATTGTATAATACCATGGCAGAAGTCGTTCTAAAATAGACTTTAATTTGAACAAACTATAGAATGTTAAAACCTATATATATTATAATATTTGTTTATCAGTATATGACTACAATATATTAACTACAACACACACCTGCTGGTCTATTTCCGGGCTGAGGACGTCTTCGAGCAGTATATTGGTCTGAAAATGTTTCACATATAATTTTTAAAAGAAATTTACTCAGTTACAAAGTGCTCCTTTTAAACATGTATTATGTAGGGAAAAATGGACGTTTCTTTGAATATGTTCAACCTGTAAAACCGGATTTTAATGTAAAGTAAAATATTTTTTGTTTAGAAATCTAACCGATTTAGCAAATTGATAACATAGTCAACAAAGAATCAGCAGTGATTTATGGAATGGATAAGCAAAGAAAGGCTTAACTTGCACGCGTATAAGTAATACAAACGTTTATCTATTGGGAAATATGTGAAAGCTGTTATCCAGCTTGCTCACAGATGGTCGGTGAGTTTATTTAGAAGTCAGCCCGTGGCCTGAACTACTGCATGAAGGTCACCGAGGTCCTCCTTCACCAGTAAAGCTGGAAGGTCGCCTTCTGAAATAATTTCAAATAAACAATTTCTGTGTGACCATGAATAAATAAATGAATAAATTAGATATAAAAAACTTACCTTGTGATGCAGTGTACATAACAAGTCCTATAACTAGAAATATCAAACTTGTATACAAAGACATCATAAATTTTTATGTTTAAAGAAAAATATATTTATATTCGGCGGAAATATTATCCGTCGTTTTATCTTTAGGCAAATATTTCTTATGTTGTAATGTTCATTTTACAAGTTCATGCTAAGTTCGTGTAAAATTATTGTCGTTAATTAAACACAAAAACACAAGGATTTTGTCATTAACTTTATGTGATTGATGTGCGTATAGGTGCAATGTCATTTGTTCTCTTTATTTATTCAAAATGGTGGTGATGTAAACAAGTATAACACTTAAACATCACTTTTGGTTGTTATATAAAATCACTATAAAATATCATTTCTTATATTTATAACAAACGCATATTTTCTAGGTAGGTAGATATTAAACAGAGTCTGTTATAGCAGTAAGGAGGTAAGGAGCAAGTACTAAGATCGAAAAAAAAAGCTCATAGTATTCTCAATCAGAGTTGGTGGTTATTGGTTTAAACATATTTATTTAAGTCCGATTGGGAAATAAGTTCTTGCAACTTATAATAATAACTTTAGAGCCCTCTTTCTGGAACCAACAAGTACTGGTGTCATAATGAAGAAACATGGTCGTGACCCAATTAGGGTTCGAACCCATGATTCGTGTGTTGAGAGGCAGACACCTTAACCACTAGGCCACCACTAATGTCAACTTAATGCATGGGAAACGCTTAAATGGCAACAACGTAAATTTATTGCAATGTAAGGACAGCTTTTGGAAATTTAGTTCTGTTCAAGTAAGCCAAGTCGTCGTAAACATCCATGTCATTTTTGTGTGTTGGAAATTCCCCGTTAAAGGACAAAAAGTAATTATTTTGTCAAAGCACATTGTTTTGCGTAACTGAAAATCGGATTTCAGAACACAACGAACCGTCAATGAAATATTACTGGCGTTTTAAAGGGAATAAATTCAGTTTTTATTTTTGAATTTTTATTAATAATAATTCTTTACGGATAATTGATCTGGAATTCTGTTAAGATGACTGCATTCTTTTGTTGCAAGGAGGTGACAAATAAGTGCAACAGGCAGATAAACACATGTCATATTTTAACATTTAAAACCAAGGTTTCATGACAACAAATTGCAAGTTAACAACATCATTGCTGCATGTTAAACTCTTGGCTCACGACACAACCAATCGGGAACTAAGTCCCCGTGCAGATAGAAGTGTCCGGTGCACGCCGGGTCACATGGATCGTCGTTTCTGAAATAAGAAAATTCTATTTTAAGCATGTGTTTCTTAATATTTTTTGCTCATACGGATGACACATTTCACATAAACATTACAATTCATTAGTACATCATCAGTGTTTTGCTATTAAGCATTGAAATGTGTTGTTGTTTTTTTTACTTTGATATGACGATGTGTCACAAAGAACATATTGGCCCCTATTACCATTTTAATAAATGAGGTGATTCAGACATCAAAATGCTTAGATGTAGCAGTCAACGGTATACAGCAGGGTTATGACTTTTATTTTATTAAAGTAAGCCTTGATACATCAATGGTTAAATACATGAATCGTTAGTATGTGTAATTAATGTGTATATATGAGTGTGTACCATATTTACGGTCTTATTTATCAAAAGTATGAATAAGAGATAAGTATGAACTATATTAATCAGTAAAAAACGTTTTGAAAAATAGCAGTTTTTATAAAATCAACATACACGCATACAGCCATTGGAAAAGCTGGACATCTACTAACTTGACATGGATTTACAAAGCAGTATCTCATGACTGGCTGGCACCATGCTAAAATAATATATAAATCCTATTTCACATAAAGAAAGCCCTACTGGTCAATATCGGTAATATTGCACATAAAACTGGTGCGTGTTTTCTGTGACAATAAAAATGAATTAATGCTTTGTCTTCATTAAAAGAGTAACGAATGTGGAAGTTAATTAACAAATGAAAATTTAACAATAAGGAAATACGTGTACATTATTTTTACATAATCGAAATGTATATCATTTTCAGAACATTACATGAGATCAAACTTGAATCATGCTAAAATTAGTTAAATTTTTGATGGAAAGATTTATGGTTCTATATAAATAATTCATCAATTGTATAATGCTCAGTGTTAAGGACGATGTGAAAATGACCAGTGAAGAAAATATCAACTTACGCGAGAAGATGTTTATTTAGAACAAGATGTTAATCATAAAATAAAATAAAACAAAATATACGTTACATGGTCGTCCTCCAGCGCTGGCCCCATCTATGAAATGGAATAAACTTTATTGTGACTACAATGCTACAATGCAAAAAGACTCTCTCTCTCTTTCTCATGTTCTGTATTTCTTTATAGAAGAAATTAAAAGAATGAATGTTTGACATTCAGTTTTTGCCAGTATTTGCATTACCTGTGCATTAAGTAGTATTTTTATTGATGCAATCAAGCTAAAACAGTCTTTATATTTTATAAATATCTAAAAAAAAAACCTAGCTATTTGCATAAGAATATCTTATTTTGAAATAGAATTTACGAAGTATATTGCAAAATTGTTAAATAATAAGAATAAATTATGATAATACAAACAAGGATCAATTGCGAATCCATATAAAAAATAATTTAATTCGAATAAAAACACAACATACATTTCTTATTTTTGTCAATAAAATAGTATAAGATCTTACACATGACAATCTCAAGAAATAAGATTTTTAAAAAAAATGGGTACATGTATATTGGCTTACGTGTAACAAAATTTAATAAGATTGTACATGTGAGAATAAATTTGGTCTTACAATTTTGTGGTCGTAATGGTCGCCGGTATTGAATCTGCATGTCGCCTGCCATAGTGTTGTATCCATCTGAAATGTTATAGTTTTTAAGCATTTTTCATTTATTTTTAATCAGGTAAAATCCGGTTAACCAATAAATAGATTTTTTAATCTAAGATTTATCCATTTCAAATGATATTTTGGAGATGTTTTTGTCTTGTTTATGTAGTACATTAATTTTACCTTGTGCCCGGATCTGGTAAAGAAGTCCGAAAACTAACAAAGTTACAAACAAGTGCATGATGAAGTCCGCTTTTGCTAGAAAAACTGATAAAATACAGGAGAGACTTTACCATTCTATTTAGACACCAATAAATTAGTCCAATTCTTTTATACATGCTAATAAGTTCAGTTAAAGTTCATGGAAAATTGGCGGAATAAAATTTGTAAATTGACATTGCAGTCTAGGAAATAATGGGAGATATAAACTCACGGACTCAGTAATGCACTATTAAATATAATTTATACTTCACGATGATGGTTAGATTGACTATGACATTTAAAGTTAATACCTAGTAAATTAGTTAGAAATGTTTATTTCATCTACTTTTGAAAATAACGAGAGAATTGTGCAGTAGTAACCATGTTAACGCAGAACTGTGCAACTCTGGCCGAAACGAAGGTTAAGCTGTATGACTGAATACACTGAAGGACTTTACTAACTTCACAGTTCATATAATTTACATATTTGACAACAAAACCAACATAGTGCGTTTATCCGGACCAGCCTGCGCATCCGCGAAGTCTGATCAGGATCCATGCTGTTCGCTATCGGTTTCTCTACTTGTAATCTACCATGCAATGCAGTTTTACCTTGTTCACGCGCCTCCTTCATCCTCGGTATAAGCGATTACTTCCCCTGGGAGTTGTTCGTAAACAAAGTATGGTGTAAAGGACAGGGCTTTCCAGTGTTTCCTCACTAGTTCTCTTTCCTTAAACAGGGTGAATTTGGCAACAATGTTCCGAGAGCGACCATTGGTTTTGTTGCCCATCCTATGAACTCGTTCAAAGGATATTTTGTCTACGAGGTCCTGAGCTACTTTCATTTCTTTTACCATAAATTGTCTTAATATATTTTCTGTGTCTTCATATTTCTCTGAAGGGGCCTCAGGGATATTTGTAAACAACAAATTGTTTTGCATGGATTGCGACTATAAATATGTTACCTCATTCTGCAGGCTCTCCTTCTGTTTGATATCACGAAGACCATTGTTTCATTCCAGGTCCTTGCCGACCATTTATAGTATTTTCAATCAATCGATATATTTACTTAAAAGTGTTTGCGTGAATAACACCGTGAATTAAATTTGTATATTTGCATCATTTATAAAATACTGGTAAGAAGAGTCAAGATACTAAAAATCAGGAGATGCACGGGCACCTAAATAGGCCTATGGTAGGAAAACCAAAGGTGGTTGTAACGGTGCCGACTCTATATTGGGGTTATTTGTGACCCAAACTAGGTCCAGACCAAAACAAAATCAAACAAAAAACAGGTGACAATCCTTATATATAGACTATAGACTTAGTATATATCAGGATTGTCACCAGTTTTTTTGGTCTGGACCTAGTTTTGGTATATATATATAGAGTCCAGCACAGTGACATTTACACCCCCCTTTGAGAAAACCCGTTTTATGGTCAACTTTATGCGAAATTTGTTTAAACTCGGATGCCTTATGTATAAGTTTTTACGGGTTTAAAACACAAGGGTGGCACATGCTTGGATGGAGAGACAAAATTACCAGCTATTTCTTTTTAATTTTACTTCACTGTAAAACACCTTTTAAATGTGAATCTGGGACATAAATGTGGAAAACATTAAAAAGATTTTCTTTAAACATGTTTTTTTTCTTTTTCTTGTGGTGGGCCATCCGATGTGTATTTTTTTTCTATGGTCATTGATTAAAAGTCGTGTTAAGTGGGCTGAATGCAACTCCTGTTAATCCCTTCCGGAATTCATTCCGTCCTAATATTTTTCTCACAGGCAGTGTTTAAAATGAAACACCGTAACCAATATATGACAGGAATAAACAGATCAAAAAGCCGTTAAAACTTACAAATTAAGCAGAATTGACACGACTATTTAGATTCAAAAGGTAGATACAGTAGAAAACAAGTATATTTCTTGTTTTGAGAACCTAAATTAATTCCTGAAGCTTGGAAATAGCAATGAAATTTTAGTGTAAGTGAAAGGTATTCGGATAGTGAACTGTATTCGGATACTTTTTACTGTTACATACTATCATTCAGCATAATTATTGTTTTGATAGATAATAATACGATTGCGTCAAGGAAAAGTTTATTGGGTTCTTGGCATTATCAGATTATTAACTGTCAATTCACGAATTCGAAAACCTAGCTAAACGCCGTTTTCCGGTACTTTCTGTACATAGCTCTGGGGAATTCACCCAATGGAGTGTAATAGCGAACTCGATGTTTTCGGCCTTTTTTAAAATCAAATTGAAATAAAGTAATTATTTCTTTATAAGAAAATAATTAGATATCATTGTATGAATAATTCCATACCAAAAATAAAGTAAATACACAAGTTAACGCAGAAAATAACCTTATTTATTATGGAAGATTCCACTACGTCTGTTTGAATTTTATTGATTTTCATTATAAACAATTTATTTTTTTTGAATAATTTGGAATAGATATTAAAGGAATATTGATAATTTTCAAAAACATCAATTTTTTCACCTTAAACAGTTAAATACTGATAGAAAAATCGAAATATCACGTAACTGTGTTATGTACTTCATTTGATGTAATTCCCCAGAGCTAAAACGGTAACGTACCGGAAAACGGTGTTTAGCTAGGTTTTCGAAAAGGTCAATGCTTATTTGATTAATTGACCAGACAATTTTTAAGACGAGTTGACCACGGGACGAGTTGACTCTAAATCCCCGGATTATTGGTAACGTCGACAGTGAATCCTTCAAATTTTTGTAAAATCTATACAAAAGGGTCATAGGCTTGCAAATTTTTGCCTTATTGATTAAACGTAACTAAATATTGTCCCATTTTACACTGTTTATTCTGTATGGTCAAATCATTATGTACAGAATAAGGGAGTATGCAGAAAAAAGACTTTGCCCAAACAAATTATCTTGATGTCTCCTTGACAAGTCTAAATAGTTGAACTACACCAAGGGAAGAGTCAGATTGTATAATTGATTATTTTCAAGTAAATGTTCACAGCCCAAGATAAGTTAAATTACCATTTAGGCATTTTTAGAAAGAAATCATAAAAGCACCTGGAGCCATATGATCTCAAAACTGTCGTTATAACTTAAAGCAGCATGCCTCCACATAGTTCTAATTATAAGACCTATTTGTAACTTATTACATATTTATCAATCATTAATCTGATATTTTACATTTTTCATTTTCCATGTTACGTTAGGTCTTAACAGATCACTCCAAAAACGTGCAGCAAACAGTTTGACATTAGACATCAATTTTAAGAATTTATGCATTTAAACAATTAAGACAGCGTGTATTTACTGTTACATTAATTTTGACCTATTTATGAACAAAACTAAAAAATAAATACCTTTGAACAAAATAAACTGTCACATCCGAAAAATAATGATTAAATCCTCTCATTTAATTAAATTCCTTATACAGCCGATAAAAAAATCGCCGCCATACAGTGCGCAAAATCTGATTGGCTAATTCAAATGCAAGCATTTAAATGAGTCAGAAGTTTCTAACAGAATATTTTTTTAAGAAATAATTGCGCATGCACTGTCAGCGTGCTCAAATATATTTTTCTGTTCAAAAATTTGAAAACAATCTGTAAAACGCTTTACTTAACCAGTATGGCCTAAAGGCAAAAATAGATTGATATTTATACTTTTAATTGATAAGTACATTGTTTGAGAGTTTTTGTTAATGATTGAGCATGAAATTGAAAGAAAAGAAGATAAGCTTTTGAACATACATGCCATAATTTTAAGACACATTTCTGGGACACTTTTCAATTGGAGGTGGGGCATTGATCAGCAAACGTATTTTTTTTTAATTTACATAGTGGCATACAACCTATATTACCGGTATTTACAACTTGCAAAGTTAATGACACCATAAACAAAAGACAGAATGTCAATAATTATTAACAGTTCTTCTATCTTTTTTTAAGTATTTAGGCATCGTTAATTCAATCAGTCACAGAATAGAATAAAGCTATGTTAAGTAATGACAATTGAATATGTCATTTACCTGAAACATTCGCTGAATCTTGTAGATTTCATCACCTCATATTTAGCGATAATTTTCACGGTGTTTGACCACTAATAACTGCCTCCAGGCGGATTAAATTTATACTGGCCAGTTGTTAATTACAGTGTATGACACCTTCACTCAGGAAGCAGCAGGGGGTAAACAATTAATCTTTTAATTGATCAAAATTATTGCTGATAATTGTTTGTTGGAAGGGGAACGTAGATATACCTTTAAAAGGATTAGTGTCACCATTGTAATGCTGTTAGGGGATAATCGTTCGTTATCAGCGTTCTAGACTAGTTTATAAAAACTTGACAATAAAATTATATAAAAATGTAAAATTTCTTGCTTCAAAGTAGATTATCTTAGATTTTTTTTACCGGGACACCTCCGGGACAGACACCTTATTTCCGGGACTGTCCCGGACATCCGGGATGTTATGGCATGTATGCTTTTGAATAAAGCTTGAAAGGCACGACAATAGACATTTTTTTATTTTTTTAAAATGCTATGCTTGTATGAGCAATAACTATTAGACATCAGGCTTGACCGACATAAACTATAACAAGCCAGTAATGTCTAATATATTGGACTAGCCTCTACATGCTGTTTTCATGAAAAATTTGAAAATGTTTTTCAAATGTAGAAAGTAGTGAAGTGAATAAAGAAAGTACATGTATGTAATTTACACAATCAATATGGCTCTGTAAGTCCATGTGCAATTGCCAAAAAAGAGGTCAAGTCAAGATATGCAAAAGTAGCTCTTACTGTATTAAAAATTAGTCATGCAGTAGACATATGGTGTTAAATACTGCAAAATCAATCGTTAATCATACATAACATGTAAATCATTACTTAAAACTTGAATATTTTTACTTTTCTTATAATTTGAGTACATTTTTCTCAAGTTTGATTTTCTTGAAATAATTGGGCTCATCTGGAGGCATGTGGCTTTAAAATAAACAAAAAATGATGAAAAGAAATAAATTTGAAACTATCTGAACCATCTATATTATGAAGTTTATAATTTTCTTTAAATTATATATTTATGATGTTTTCAGTTAACAATGGCAGAGGAGGAGGTTAATGAAATTGGTGATGGTATGCATATACTGAATCTGAGCTATATCAATTTCAAAAATGACTCCCATGAATCAGCATTATTGAAAGAAATGAAGAAACTTTTTGATGAGGATCTTCTTAAAGATGTCACTCTGTGCGTTGGGAATCTGGAGTTTGGGTGCCATAAAAATGTTCTTGCTGCAACAAGTCCTTATTTTAAACTTATGTTTACCTTAGAGATGGCTGAGAGTAAAAAAGACAGGATTGAGCTGTTTGAGATTGATTCAAGATCATTGAAAGAAATCATTGAATATGCTTATACAGGGAAAGTTCGGATCACAAGGAGAAATGCTCAAAATTTGCTAAGTGCTGCGACGTTATTTCAGATACTTCCTGTACAAAGAGCTTGTGCAAAGTTTATGGAAACTCAGCTCGATATTAATAATTGTATTGGTATTAACTTCATAGCAGAAATTCACAACTGTACTGCACTGAAGATTAAAGCTAGGGAGTTTATCGAAAAGAATTTTGTTGAAGTTTGTGGAAACGAGGAGTTCTTGTCATTAACATTTAACAAATTGGCAGAAATTGTTATGTCGGATGAGCTCAATGTTGAAAAAGAAGAAATAGTTTTAGATGCTGTTATTTCATGGGTTGAACATGACTTTGAATCAAGAAAGGTGCATTTTTGTGATATATTACAGATGATAAGAATTGGACTATTGAGCAAGCGATATGTGAAGGAAATTCTGGCCAAGCACAAGCTTGTGAAAGAGTGTAAGAAATGTAAAGAGTATATTAAAGATCTAAAAGATTATGAAACCAACCCAGGAACATATGTTGGAGAAAATGAGTTCAGTTTGAGTCTGAGATCGGGTATGTACCACCCCGAGGGTTGTTTGCTCATCATTGGAGGGGTTGAGTTGACGTCGGTGCGACCCTGTATTAACTGTTTTAACCCCGTCTCTCAGGAGTGTTTCTATATTGAGGAATTTCCAGAACCACGGAAACAGGATACATATGATTGTGAAGATGTTGCTTGTGTTGTCACTGGAGACAATCTCATTTTTGCAGGTTTGAAAATGCTTTTTTAAGTACATGTATGTTTGTTTGATTGGGTTTTACGTCACACCGACAGTATAGGTCATTTGGCGACGTACCAGCTTTACTGGTGGAGGAAGACCTCAGGTGCCCTTCCTTGCATCATTTCAGGCACGAAAGGGCACCTGAGTAGAACCACCGGCGTTCTGTAAGCTAGCTGGATAGTTTCCTCACATGAAAGAATCCAGAGTCCCTGTCAGGATTCGAACCCACAGCGGTAAGGGGCAAGTGGTTTGAAGTCAACTACCTTAATCACATCAATTTCCTTCTATTTTATCATCACCATGGAGTGATTTTCCTTGAATTATAAAGAGTTACTAAATCAGAACTACAAACTTAGTCGTATAAGATAAAATGTTACTCAAATAATCTCTCTTAGAGCACTTTGAGTTAATACTATAAATAGAATAGGTTTCAATAAAACTATTGAAAAAATAATACATGCCAAATCATTATGAAGTCAAAAACCTAGTATTTTATTTACAAGTATGGTAACAAAGAACTCATTTCTAGAACATCTCCTCAAACCTGTTTGCTTTTATATTTATAGGGGGTGGAAACTATATTTACCATCACTTGTTTGAGGACTCGGAAGATGACTCATTCGAAGAGCTAGAATATAAGGAATATATTGTACAAAAAGATTTCTACCAGTATGATATGGACCACAATGAGTGGATTGCTAAATCACCAATGTTGTTTCCGAAATCAAACTTCACACTAGCCAGCTTGAATGGAAAGGTATATTGCTTCGGAGGGTTGACGGAAAACAAGCATCCCACTGAAATAATTGAAGTATATGATATAGAGAGGAATAGATGGAATTATCAGGGCATGTTACCTACGACCCTCGTTGATTTGGCCTCTGTGGTGTTTAATGAGAATATATACCTACTTGGAGGGCGTACAGGAGTAGGTGCTCACAACAGCCTTATAAGGTAAGGTTTAACTGTAAATCTATGAGAGTTGCTGGGTCTCTTTGATTTTCTTGACATTCTTTAAAAAACTTTTGCAAATGATTTAAGAGCCAAAAATTTTAAGTGTCTGTTAAAAAGATTTATAAATCTTCTGATAACATGTACATTGTGTTCATGACCAAAAAAAAATTGTATAAAAAAAAATGGCAAAACAAATATTTTTCCTTCTGATAAAGTATACAATTTGTGTCTTTAAACTGTTTTAATATACAGTAGATACATCATTAGCATTAAAACTGCAAGTTAAAGATTTTTTTATTACAAAAACAAATTTAAAAGTGGCAGCAGAATCAATTGTACATCTAGAAAAAGGAATAGATATTGGAATAACTTCAATAAGATTTTACATGTAATAACATCACATTTATTTGTAGATACAACCCTGAGACAGAAGAGTGGACGTCTCTTGCTGGAATGTTGACACCAAGATTCAACTTTGGGGCTTGTATCCATGATGGAGAGATCTTCGCGGCTGGCGGACAGATCTACTCACATGCGTCTTACACCATCAATAGAGAAGTGTTGCGAACCGTTGAAGTCTATAACATAGAGGCAAACCAATGGCGATTAGGACCTGAACTTCCCGTCGACATGTTTAATGTTGGCCTGTGCGTGATTAACGGTGCAATGTATGCTTGCGGTACGCCAGAATACGAGGAAGATTTAACCTCTCAGAGGTCATATAATGCCGTGTGTAGACTAGATCTAGGTACAAACACGTGGGAGATGATAGAAGAGAGCCTTTGTAGCGTTAGAAACTTCCGGTGTGTTATGGCAAAAATGCACACCAGAAAACTTCAGAAAGTCTTCTCATCTTCATGTGTGTGATTTGTTTTCATTTTTAGAACCTGCCAATGTCTTTTGGACCAAACCGACCTTTTTAAGACCAAAAAACTTCAGTATACCAGATCTTGCCTGATTGATAATTACGTGTTCACAGTTCTTATTAAAATAGCAATTTTCATGTATCTATTGAAATATAAGAAGTTTATGGTAAAGAATAAATTCATTTACTTCTTAACAAAAAGAGTATTTATAACATTGTTAATTAGAACTAAAAACTAAAAAGTACATGTAACATACTAGTATCAAACTTTGAAAACCTAAAACAATTTTGAATTGTTTTCTTTACATATCAAACAAAAAAGATTATTTGTATTATTTATATTGGAAATACTTATTTATATTTATAGCAATATATGAGACAAGATGTTTTTGCTTGGTCAATATTGTGACTAAGTGTTGTTGCTTTATGTGATACAACATTGTTTTTTGTTTTTTTACAAGATGTGGCAAATGTTATAATATAATATAAATTTTACTACACATTGTGCTCAAAGATTGTTTTTTGGTGTTAAGAATAGCAAATATTTATCAAGTTTTGCATTTGTACTGGGACAGAAAGCTACACTACACATATTTGTTTTTTCCAAATAGTATTTAAAATATTTATTGACTTGGTTGATTTGTGCCATTTTAATGGATACAAAGTATCCTTAGTCCTAGGTTAGATATTTTATAGATAATTAATATTTTATTAATATATAATGTTGCCTTGGAAACACTGTATTTAATAAAGGTAAAAAAATATGCAAAACTTTTTTCCTTAACAAACCCTTAATTGTCTAGTCAATTTATGCTTTTCTAAGGAAAATTTTCAATTCAATAAAAAAAAGAATAATCATATTTTTCCTTAACAAAAAAAAAGAACACACCTTACCTACTGGTACTTACAGTATCTTTGTCTTAGTGGTAGTTAGAAACAGGATTCAAGGTTATAAAGAACCTTTCTAAGCTCCTACTCAGATCCCAGGTATTTGATTAGTCAGAAACCATCACAAAATGTATATTTAATTCAGGACAGAACTCCAAAAAATAATTTATAACCTTTTGGACAGGCTTTATTTTATTGTGGCCCAAGATCTATTTCAGCTTATAACAGTCAATAAGAGTTTTTTCTATGTTTTTATCCTCATTCATAAAGATTTTGATGCATAAGATAGATTCTACAACAGAATATATATAGATATCATGGTCAGTGTGATCAAGTTTAACAAAACATATATTACATTAGATGTTTTTTTGTTGTAACATATCATGAGAAATTATACATTAAAATGGTATATATTTTTTGTAATATGTATTGAACGAAAAAATAGGCATATTTTACATGTTTAATTTCTTCTGCACATGTAACCAAATATTATAATATTTGTTGCCTTTTAACCTTAACCTGCTGAATGTCTGAAATGCTTTTGACTACCTTCAAATTGTTTAACTGTCCCGTGTCAGTTTTTGGGTAGAAGTGTGTGTGACCTGGTGGTCAAGGTTGTTGACTTTAAACCACTTGTTTCTCACAGCTATAGGTTGAAGCAATGCAAGCCTCTTTGGAATCTTTCATGTGAGAAAACTATCCAGCTAGTTTATGAAACATCAGTGGTTCTACTCAGATGCCTGTTTGTGCCTGAAATAATGCACAGAGTGGCATAGGTCTCCCTCAACCAGTAAACCTGGAAAGTCGCTATATGACATATACTGTGTTGGTGTAACGTAAAACCCAACCAAAAGAAATCAATTTTGGGTATACCAACATGAAAATTGAAAGTTGGTTAGCAGTATACAGCCTGGTCAGATTGCATAACATGCAGGTTGGTGGGGCTCTATACGGATTGTAAAAAAAATCCTTTCAGTTCCAGCAGAGTAAGGGTTAAGAATAGATTGCAGTGCTTGTGCATCCTATTTTATTTATCTATTTTTTTGCTAAAAGCTGTGATAAACCATAAATACAATCTTTGTTATATGTGACCATTTATTTATTTATTTGAAAGTGTTGTACCCATATAAAGTTTAGTCAAATTTTAAAGTGTTGTTTGCATCTATGTTGTTCCAAGTTTGTTGCATTTAATATACATACATTTTGTTGGATATTTTATTTCAGTGGAAACCATTTTTGAAAGCGTGTAGTCTATTTCACAGTACTAGTAATTATTGATTTAAATATTCCAATATGATAAGCTGTATACATGTGTTTTTCTCTCTTATGTCAGAAAACTGAAATTCAATCAGATTTGGCAGAAGTGGTATGCAAAGAGACATCTGAGCATTATACTAAAGTACATGTAATTATCAGGCTCAAATAATTGTAATCTATTAGTGAATTACTGTCCTCCTGTACTTTATTTGCTCCTTGATAGTTAAAAACCTATGTAAAATGATATTTGTATTATATAAGATTTTATAACAAAGGACATTGTATCTGTGTGTAACATACACATTTAAGATGCAGTTCGAAGTTTGAAAACCAATATTCACTTGAAGGCACATTATGCCTCAGAAATCCAAATGTTTTAATTTGATTTAGAGTGTGTTACATGTTTAAATACTGAAGGAAGTAGCACTGAATGTGCAGTAATGTGTTGTAAATGTAGCAAAATGTAAACAAAGTAGCATTTCAGCTTCCATACAAAATACTTATTTACTATAATTATATTAATTGCTGAAAGAGCAAAAGCAGCAAAAGATAGTTTATGAAAATTGAGTATAATTTTGTAAACTGTAAAAAAAATTCCAGAAATAAAGTTTTTGAGGAAAAAAAATGATAGCATTTCTGATGCATAATGGGCCTTTAACATCAGATGATCTGTATGTACAGTTTTAATGTTTAGTGGATTTATTGTCCTGCTCTGACAGTACTGGTTAACTCTGTAATTATGGCTTCTGACATCCAGATTTATACTAGAAACTTTAATATTGTAGTGTAATAAATTTCCATGTAGAAATACTTATAGCTAACTGTTAAATATTCATTTATATGAAGTAATGTCCAAATAAAAGAAATTGTGCATGTGTATTTAATATTTACATAAGTACAAGATCAGGGTACCTAATTAGATATGCTAAAATAAATATGTATAACAACTTATATATTGAGTGTGAACCACTATTTTGGTGGAAAACAGCTATTGTAGTACAGCCGATATAGAAGATAGCTAAAGTAGCAAATGTAGTATTTTATCGTCGCAAGTTTTCTTCATAATGTTGAATGAAATAAATATATATTGAAGTATTTTTTTGGTGATTATTTCATTTGCTCAATTAAATTTAATTGTTGGATGGATATTCAACATATTCAAGTTAATATAAGCAGTATGACAAATTGACTCAGTTAGGCCATAGCCCACTCCGGCTTCATTAAGACAGGGCCATATATAGGCTTCATGAGACTCTGTTCCACACTAACTTGGTATGCTCAGGTCCGCACTTAGCTATATTAGACTTAGTTTAGCCATTGTCATCATTATTTTATTTAATTTCAACCTTCTTGAAAGGTGTTTAATCAGAAAAATCTTGGTGAAATGAATTTTAATCGGCCAATAGTTTCAGGCTATATTTATGATTATATTATCCTGATATAAAATCCCTATTCAGTACATTAAATATCAATGATAGTCTGTCAGCAAGCCCTCGTTACCAATGATGATTACAAATCCGAGGTTTTATAAGCTTTAACTTATAACTTCATTTAAGAGAACCTGGGCTATTTGAAATTGTTTGATGCTTCCTTCTTAGTCATGGTCAGTTATTTTTAACATGCCATGTCTTTCTACAAGACCTTTTTTACATGCATGAATGATGCCCCAAAAGAGGTGCTCATTATCTGCAAGTTGATCAAGGACATTAAAGTGGGCTTTAATAAACTAAGTTGGAAATGGTTTCTAAAAAAGTTCAGATCCAGAATAAATTGAAATATTCATCAGATACAATTTATTTGTCCTTTTTAACCCCTTCACTCTGACTCACTCCTGTTACATGTACATGTGCGAAACCGTCCAGCATTTAAATGTCAGTAACATTACATGACATATGATATTCTGATCGACATTTAAAATGATTTGTAACATTACGTCACTCCTGAAAATGTCAATGGAAGAATTGCTCTTTCTTTGAAGCAGCATACTGCCAGGTTCATGCTAATTTTCATGATTTTTTTTTTAATTATTCAAAAAAAAAAATTGTCATGTGAACAAAGAAAGTAATTTACAAATTTTAATCTACGAAAATTACCAAAAAACAGGTAAGAATATGCTTAAATAGCCCTTAATAGAGTTAGTCATGCAGTATAAATTTGGTGTTAAATACTGCAAAATCAGTCATTAATCGCGCATAACATGTAAATTACTACTTGGTTTCTGACTATTTTTACTTTTGGCTAATCTGGAGACATGCAACTTTAAATTGAGAAACATAAATTATATTCAAACACAAGACAAGATATATTTTACTTTTGTTTTTATTCAATGATTACTTTAAAGTAAACACAGCCTCTGTACAATTGTTTTTTAAGTATTACATATCACAGAATGTTTATATATGTACAAAGATATACATAAATACTTTAAACACATAATCAGTATAGTGTAACTACAACAAGAGCCACCGCCGGGCGGGGGAAACGCTCGACTTTTTACTTTCTCTAAAAGCAAACAAAGAAATGTTTGAACAAAATCTTTAAATATACTAATTTATATATATATATAAATAGAAACACGCAATTCTATAAATAGAAAATTCTATAAATAGAAACACACAATTCTATAAATAGAAATGCGCAATTCTATAAATAGAAAATTCTATAAATAGATGACAAGTGGTGTTGACACATGGTGACACGTAGTGGTGGTGACACGTGGTAGTGTCATGTGGTGGTGACACGTGGTGGTGTCACGTGGTGGTGACACGTGGCAGTGACACATGGTGGTGACATGTGGTGTTGACACGTGGCGGTGACACATGGTGACACGCGGTATTGCCACGTGGTGATGACACGTGGTGGTGACACGTGGTGGTGACATGTGGTAGTGTCACGTAGTAGTGTCATGTGGTGGTGTCACTTAGTGGTGACATGTGGTGTCATTGGTGGTGACACGTGGTGGTGTCACGTGGTGGTGACATGTGGTGGTGGTGACACATGGTGGTGGCATGTGGTGTCATCCGGTGGTGTCACTTGGTGGTGGTGACACGTGGTAGTGGTGACACATGGTGTTACGTGGTGGTGACATGTGGTGGTGGTGACACATGGTGGTGGTGGTGACACGTGGTGGTGACACGTGTTGTTGTTGTTGTTAATGATGATGCACTCACACCAATAAATATATATGGTCATTTAATGCACAAATCTGAGAAAATTCAGTCATTTAACCTTCAAGGTCAAGGTCATTAAAGAGCCCTAGTGTTTGATAAACAACAAGGTCTTGTCCTTAAGTATGTTCTGTTATAATATGAAGTTGATCCCTTCAATAATAGCAAAGTTACAGCCAGTAACAGCCAAAACAATGAACATTTCAATAATTTGAACTTCAAAGTCAAGGTCATTAATGAGTGAAGGTCAAGGTCTGTCTGGTTATTTTTAAGGGTTATCCTTGAAGATTATTATGTTCAAGTTTGAAAACAATCCATTCAATAAAAAACAAAGTTACAGCCAATCATAGCCAAAAAAATGAAAATTTCAACAATTTGACCTTCAAAGTCAAGGTCATTTATGAGTGAAGGTCAAGGTCTGTCTGGTTATTTTTAAGGGATATCCTTGAAGATTATTATGTTTAAGTTTAAAGACAATCCATTCAAAAATAACACAGTTACAGCCAATAACAGTATGAACAAGCAAAATTTGGACTTTTAACCTTGAAGGTCAAGGTCATTCATGGATGAAGGTCAAGGTTAGTGTGGTCTACTGAAAGGTCTTGTCCAAAGGGTTGTTGTGGCCAAGTATGAAGACAATACACCAAGAAATAAAAAAGTTATGATCCAGGTACAAGTTTGCAGACGGCAACGTCGCCGAAACTATAGCAATACCTCTACATTTTTTTTTCAAAAAAAAAAAAGTCGAGCTAAAAAGTACACTTGTCAACATTTTGTACAAATGTTGTCTTCAATTAACTGTATCTTTAAACAATAATATCATATTTAAATATTAATAATTTTAAACCCCTCTATGAAGCAATAGGTAGGTTATAAATACATATATTTACAAGCTTATGTCCCTCTGCAACTGTCGCCTAATAAATATCTAACTAAAAGTATCCTTGAAATTTGATGTTACCAAAACTTACTATTTCTGTTATGGCCCATTTCTTATACTTTCAGAACAAGATGGTCAACCCTTCTGTCAAATCCTGTTCATAAAATTTAATGTTAAAAACCATATGAATATTCATAAATTGTTTTATAAATGGTACCTTATGTATATGATTTGACAATAAATTATGTTGAAACTAAACTAAGTTATGGCAAAACCTACATTTTTAGTCATTCAACCTTTACACACTGTAGATCACTGTGTTAAATGAATGATGGATATAAATGTTTGGCTTGTGGTATAAAAAAATCAATTAAAACATGTATCAGTTGTTGATATACATATGATATTAATAAGTACCACTAAATCTAAACAGTAAAATCCCACAATGAATATTTATGATACAATTAAATGAAACATGTTAACACAATCTAAAGTTTACTTAAACACAATCAACAATTTTAACCCTGAGCCAGCTGGCCACTACTGATGCTAACCATGCAGATCAAGATGAGCTGGCACATCTGTGGTGTCTGATCATGGTCTGCACTATTTTCTGTACTCATTAAAAAACTTATGAATGGCTTTGTCCACACAAGTCCATTTAAGATGTTCAGCAAAGTTAGGGTTAATATCATCCAGATATTACCTCAGGTAAAACAGTTGTTTTTACATGCACTCTTTAAAATTACTTTATTAATTTTACTGACATTAATTCGTAAATGATTTTTTTTTCCAGACTACAAGTAAACAATTTTTACAGAAATATTTTGTTTTTTAGACAACTAAATTAAACACATTAATGGATTTTAAATATATATTGTAAACTATCATTAAGATTTTGAATCCTGGCAGCAATAGATCATTGATCAGTTAAGTCAGGCCAGCCTCTATATCCCTGCTGTCAGGCCAGCCTCGGCATCCAGGCCGTCAGGCTAGCCTCAGCATCCAAGTTGTCAGACCGACCTAGATATCCTGCTGTCAGGCAAGTCTCTTTATTTCAGCTCCTTTTTAAACACTTGAAATTATTTCATGATTTCAAATTATCGTACATAACACAAATGATTGTAAAAAATCAAATCCAAACTAGAACAAGTCTAAAATTATTCAAATTTTGCATAAAAAAATTACAATCAGTCCAACCCATTTACTTCATACTTCCGTCAAAACATACAATTAATACACAAACTATTACAGCTACATTTATTCCATGAGAATGAGATTCCATCAAGCTCCTGTATACAGAGAGAAGAAGTAAATATACAGTAAGAATATGGGATATAATAACAATGGTCTCTTTTGCTGAAGTTCTTGAACACAAAGTAATGATCCAGCACTAAAAGCTGCCCACAGTACACCAAGCAACTGAAATATATACAAGAAATTGTTTTAAGTAAATAATATTATAGTCAATACTGAATGTATATGTATGATGACTGAAAAATCTAAATATTCTCTATGAATTTCAATGAGAGTTTGGGGTGCTCTCCCTTTATCTAATTTCTGTTATTAATTTACTCCTTTTTCAAGCATGTTAAAAGGGACTTTACTGAGGTTTTTGACATGTTACTGGAACAATTTTTGAAAGATTTGTGTACCACTTTATGAAGGTCTAGACCAATACTGTGTGCAAATTTTTAGGTCATTCCCTCACCCTGTTTTACCAGAATAGCAAAATAAACCCCAAATGATAAAGAGTTGTAATGCTTTCCACTTAAATCTGGCCAAGAATCGCACTAAAAGTGATTTTCAATTTTATACGGAGTATATTTCTTTGTTATTCTTTGCAGGGTTTTCCATTTTAACTGTTTTACTTGATGTTTGTATAATGTAAGATTTTCAAATTTTATTTTTATAGGCATTTGGACCTCGGTGGAGTTCCTTTAACATACACTTATTCTCAACTGGTTAACTCTAACCTATTTGTGTTAAAGATTATTTAAAAAAAGTGGCAGACCAAATTAACTTGACCAGCAATAGTTTGTGCATCCCTTTATTTAAACTAGACATATTTATTTATTAAGAACCAACAAGATTTCAACAAATTTCTGCAATAAGTATAGATTAGTATTCATTAGTTAGCATTTTACTTGTATTTTAGATTGGTCACGAACAGCACAAAAAATTCAACCAATTTAGTTTGGTAAATGTTTACTAATAATCATTGAAATTATTATTATAAACAGCTGATTTACAAGACTGATTAATATTTAGCAAATTTGCAAAAAGTTAATGTGTTATAATTTATTTGAAATACTGCAGTCCTATTAGACAAAAACTGAATTCAAACACTCATGTAAATTAAACAATAAACAAAACATAATAATGTCCTCACCTTTAATAAAAGGGCAACATAATGAAAAGCTTTAAATAATGGAAGAATGAGTGCAGTTATCACCAATGGCAACACAGAATATCCAACCACACCCAGACACTGTGAATATGATACCTGAAATGTAAAATTTTATGTATGAGCCTTTTTATTTCATATGATGAAACAATGTTATTTCAAATGGATGATAAAAATAAAGTCTGTATTCTCAGTGCATGAAAGGGCAGATGGACCCTCTTTAAGCATAGAATACACACACATGACTGGTAAAATAGTATGCTAGCAACCATATAAACAGCATGTCTTTAAATCATAATAAGTTCATGAAAATTGATGCTGCAGAATTGCATTCTTTGAGTAAAATAAGAATAAGTTAATAATCTATGGTAGACCTGCATGTAGAAAATGGAAACTTCACAATTATCTGATGACTGAATGAGTGCAGGATAATAACAATTAATGTCAATGCACTGTTTGAGGGGGAGCGGTGGCCTAGTGGTTAAGGTGTCTCCCCCTCAACCCTTGGAATAATGGGTTCAAGCCCTACTCAGGTCAAGACCAAGTTTCCACATATGACACCAGAACTGGTTGGTTCCAGGAAGCAGAATCGAAAGTGATTTACTGATTAATACAAGTTACAAGAACTTGTTTCGCAAACAAGCTTAAATAAATATGTTTAAACCATTATTGTCAATTGTCAATTAGACTCAATACAGTCTAGTACTTAACAATATTATGACCTACCTCTCCACCTAGTACCCTGGCCAACATGAAAATGATGAGTGATCCACATATCCAAATAGTTATGATCCATGAAACAACCTGCCATAAAAAAGTTATTATAAAATATTAGCATTATCAATATTTATCTGTAAATAAAATATTGTTAAAACAATACATGCGTAAGGAGAAACTTCATCTATTATTAAAGCTACTATACTTATTCTACTAAGTCAAGTGATTTTTGCAATCCAGGAATATGCCAGAGAAGGTAGCTTCAGTGATAAATTGAGTCTCATTTTATTTTCTGAGATCTCTGATTGAGTGTTCTTTATATTTCAATATCTTAAATATATGTATTATTGTCTTTAGCTAACATTAGTGATTACAGTAAAATGTTATGTACATATATTATTAGAAAATTTGCAAGATCTCAAACTACACTGGTCTTTGTGCATAAGGGAAGATTCTTGTCTTGATGGATCTGGAAATATTGTTTTCAAGATTTGTGTTCAGTTTAATAACCAATAACTTCAAATCATTTGATCTCTCTGTTGTTCTAATTTCTTCAGAAAAATCATTTTAGTTGTGCAAAACAACCCAGAAATGGAAAGCGTTTTTAATGTTTTTAACTCAAATTAGGATAAAAAACTGCCTCAACAAGTGACACCCAATTCTATTCTTAGCATATTTCAATATAACCCTTTGCATAGTATTACTTTTCCATTAGTACTCCAATTTATCTATATAAAAAATTCAAATTTTATGTTTTTGGACATTTGTTCCTCGATTGGGCTCTTTTAAAAGTAGTAGCTTATTATCATAAGCCATATAATTTATCAACTTAACTTACCCTAAACTGTCCATATAATGAGACGAGTGAGTATAACAAGATGACAACAAGAGGTCCCCAGAAATCTGGGTTCTCTCTCACAATATGCCGATTAAATCCAAGCTGTGGTAGGGGAAATAAAACACATCTCAGCTTGTAGTAAATATCCTTCAGATCTATATCAAGTTCCTCTCTGAAATGTTAAAGTCAATTAAAATTTGTTGAATAATTTTAAGAGTAATTTTTCTCCCTTGCTATTGAATACATTAATTTATATATCATATAGGACTAGGTTCATAATATCAAGTTGTTCCAATGCCCCAATCTTAAGATCTGGTGATTCTAAATTGATTAGTAAGGCTTATCAATAATGACAATATGCCAAAGTCTTTATTTAAACAAGCAACAGTGACAAGTTCAAAACTTGCAGCTGAGGAATAAGTCATACAAAACTGTTCAATTATCTTACAATAAAGGTTCTAAATCTTCTTGATCCATATCTTCTTCTTCTAATAACCATCCAAATCCTTTACTATCTAGAAACTGGGATGCTTTTCCACGATTTTTCACACCATATGCAGTTCCTGGTATTGATTTGCTCTCAGCAGAAGGTATTGTTCCTTCCACATCATTATTGTCTGAAATATATTAAAATTCACTTAAATGAATTTGTTAACATTCAATCATTTAAATATTGCTTATACAAGTATAAATAAAAGGACATTTTTTAAACCAAAATAAAGTTGACATATTTTTGGATACAATGTATCTTACAAGTTAGGAGTGTTGATTCCATTAGTTTATCCATTTTATGTTGTGCATACAAGTCAATGAAAAATCCACAGAATTGTAATATTTAAGGTTAATACATGGCTGAGTTGGGTCAGAAAATGATAATCCAGCATCAAAATGAATAATGCCCCAGAGGGCTTCAGCTTGAAGGGCATTATTTACTCACAGCCGATTATCACTTTTCAACCTGTTTCTCACTCCCTAGCATGTATTAATGTAAAACACTTGTTTATAGATGAAGTAAAATTTGAAGTATAGTACTTTTGACAAACTTATATTTCTGTCAATAAATACTGTTTTAAGAGAACCCTCTGAAGCACAGAAACAGAGTTGCTTCCCTATATTGTAGAATCAAGTCACAAGTTTCTATTTCTCTGAAGTTTTTTCTTTTGCGTATCAGTAAAATTACAAATTAGGCCAGATTTCAAACAGTCAACTGTACTTAAACCCCACTTTCACATATGTTCAGCGGGCTTACGGTGACTATAACTTTTCAGCCCCCAGCTGTGAACCAAATTATTAGTAACCGTCCCATGACAACCATTTGTAAAAATTACAAATTATGCGAGTGTATTAAATAGACTAAAAGATATTATAACCTTTCACTTTCAATAATCTGTCAATGAGTATGCTTTGAGGATTTGTCTTATAATTATTTACAATATATGCTGTTGATAACTTATCAGTACTGAAGCTCTTTGATTTGTCAGACCCATTTATTATTATAACAACATAGTGTGTTGGGGGCAAATCACAGAATTTTTAAAACTACCCATATATAATTTTGCATACTACATATAAGAATAAATATATGCGCACTTGACACAGATTTTATATAATAGATATGGAATTTGGAGGTTACGAACCATGGAGGTTACGTACCACTATAGAAATATATAATAAAGTGATAATAAAGGATAAGGTGTGAAACTATCAGGGTTAATGGTTCAAATTGTTTGTGATTTGTTAAATTACTCATTTCTGAATGTGTGATAATCATACATAGATATAGGTAAAACATTTGCATTTATATTAATTGCTCTTATGTGATTTTTAAAAAGTAATATTAAAGTTATAATTTGGTCTATTTTTTATAATTGTTATGCTCTATATTATTTGTATTTATAATAAATTATATATATCGTACGTATCCTCCAAAATATATAAGTGGTACGTAACCTCCAAAAATGGTACGTAACCTCCTGGTACGTATCCTCCGTGGTACGTAACCTCCAGTAATCATAGATATTAGATTTTCATGCACTTGTGCTTATTTAAGTTATCAAAAATTTATGCCCTTACAAATGCTAGTCTTAACATCCAGAAAAAAGGATAATACAACAACCCTGGAAGCTAGTCTGAGTAAGCTTGTCAAGATTACATGGCAAGTCTAGGTGTATTCACCATGGTTACAGACTACTATACATGTAGCTTAATCTTTCTAATTAGGGGAGTAACATAAAAAGAGTTCTAAGGCTTCCAGGTTCTCAAACACCAATGTTAGCAACCAGGTAATAGTAAGATCAAAACTGGCTATATATTACTTACATTAATTATATGTAAATTTGGCTATACAGTAGTATTTACATTTTAGCCCGGGGTTCTGTGATATCATGGTACTTAACGTTTATCAGAAAATATTTAAATACAAATATCATAAATGAATGAGATTTTTCTTCCATCTTATAATTGAACCTTTTCCAGAACTGTTTGTAAAAAAAATATTTCAAAAGAACCAATAAAAATGACATTTTTTAGAATATTTTCAATGTCTGCCATTTTGGGTAATTTCAGAGGAGGTTACTACGGTATCAAGGTAATCCCCAAAAAAGCATGTATGGAAGGATAGATGGGTCAAAACTTTCAAGTTAAGTTGTGAAAAACTTCCAACAGTTAACTTGCTATAAAATTAAAACTATATGAACAGATTATATGTCAGTATATGTGTTTATCACATATTTTAATTGACTGTGTAAAAACCATTAAGGAAAATGGTAGTCAAATATGAAGGTTTTATAGAAAAGTTTTCTTGCCACAAAAACATTCATTATTCACCAAATTTAATTTATTGGCAGATGAAAATGAATCTAGTGTGCAAGTTTTACAAATATTAGCATCATCATGTGTTGCTTTTACTAGCAGTCACAGAAAATTTAAATACCTTGATATCATAGAACCCTTGATATCATAGGAACCGAGTATACTTCTCTATTTTGACATGTTAGTAAACACAGGCACTTTGGGGAGGACAGTCCAAGTTGCTTCTCTACATAATACACGCCTATCAAATTGTTTAACATTTAAACATGGATGGGGCAGCTGTTACAATAATAAAATTGTATTATTTTCACATAGGGGAACATTTTCTTTTTTATTATGAACATAACAGAAAATTATTTACTCCAATCATCTGATCATTTTACCCGTTAAAGAAGACCCTTGAACAAACTGAAATTCATCTTGATTTAACTTTCCAGTCTGTCCATACGATTGACTATATGGGGGTGGTTGATTGTCGTCTAGGCCTCCCAAATCCACGGTGAAATTCCCTGGTGATGTGGAAGTTTGTCCATACCCGGCCATTGTTGGGGTGATAGCTCTATCGCCGATCATTCGAATTCATAGAATTCAGATTTTTGATATTATTACATGTTTCATCAATTATTTCATACTTAAAATCATTTCTGATTTATAAAAATCTATTACTTTGGCGATAAACGTAAACTTATTTAAAAGAATAAATTCGAAACAAATTCGTACACAAAACCGCGAAAAATAAAAATAAACCGGTCGGAGTGTATTTTGGAAGAATTGAGAATATATACAAATTGCATGACGATTCTGATTACAAAATTATATTAAATTTTCTTTCACCACTAGTCAATGCATTGTATTTGCTATTAGACGAAAAGAAGGCAAGTTAAATCAAATATCATTCATTTTCGCGACTTACACCAAGGGCTATGGACGTATGGTTTGCATCCCTGCGAGTTTACAAAAAATATATCGAAACAAACTAAGCCATTCATTGTTAGCCATCATTGGGGATAATGTTTTTAGTTAGCATTGTTTGCATGAGTTTGGATATCGCATGATCTTTGCTTGAGTAAGGATTTATTTGCAAACAGTTACACAGTTTGGTACGGAAGCACAGAGGGGACATTCCGATTTTACATTATTTTCCTATCTCGTGGCCACGAGTTATAACTCAGAAAAAAAAAATAACTTAAAAAAAAAAAACAAAAAACAAACAATCCCTATCTCGTGGCCACGAGATGTAACTCAGAAATTTTTTTTTAAAAAAATGCTATCTCGTTCCCACGAGATACAACTAAGAAAAAAACATAAAACAAAAAAAATCCTTATCTCATGGCCACGAGTTATAACTCAGAAAAAAACAAAAATTTGCTATCTTGTTCCCACGAGTTACAACTCAGAAAAAAACAAAAATTTGCTATCATGTTATCACGAGTTAATCTGCCAATCAGCTTTTTATTCTATCTCGTTGACAGCAAATCATTCTTTAGTCTGCCATCTTGGCAAGTATGTCTACTCGCGCTGAAATCAATGCGCCCATCTTCGATTTTATTGGTCAGCTAACCCGTACCACGCCTTAGATGTGTTCATCTAATTGGTAGGCTAACTCATGGCCACAAGATAGAAATTTTTTTTTTCTGAGTTATAACTCGTGGCCACGAGATAGCAAATTTTTTTTTTTTTTTTTTCTGAGTTATAACTCGTGGCCACAAGATAGCGAATTTTTGTTTTTTTCTTGAGTTATAACTCGTGGCCACAAGATAGCTAATTTTGTTTTTTTCTGAGTTATATCTCATGGCCACGAGATAGGAAAATAAAATAAAATCGGAATGTCCCCTCTGTGCTTCCGTAGTTTGGGTTTAGGTATTTATTTTGCTTTAAAAGAGCTTAGGCCTTAGCTCTTATCAAATCCCAGAATCATCCTATAGGAAGTAGGCAAAGCCAGGTTATGTGAGGAGACGCTTCCCTTATTGATTTGCAGTTGTAAAACTTGTGTACATCAAACCAGGTTTATACCTGATCAAACCCTTTGCCATATCATTTTTGAAACACTTAAAGATCCTGTAACACAATTTTTTATGGTTTTATATCATAAATATGGTGCTCAAATTAAGATTTATCAATATTTTAAGTTCCAAAAAGCGTTATTTATAAAGATATTACCTACCTAATTTAACATTTCATGTAAATAAAGGGAGGTAATTAAAAGTTTATTTAATGTTTTCTATAAAGTCTAAGTCAATTTTTTCAATAAGACTTGAATGCATAAAGGCAAGTTGCATGTTATTGTTGTGAAATCTATTAATAGTAACAAATTGTTGAAAAGAGATATAGGTAACTTTCGGATGGTTGGCAAAAAATATGGTGGCTGATAAAATGAAAAATATAGTCATTTTATATTTATAATAACAAACTTATTTTTCATGTAATAGCTTAGTATTTTATATCATTAGAAAGGTCATTTTACTCATATTTTTTACATTAAAAAATAAATAAACAAAACGTTTCCATTTTTTCTTGGTAAAGATTGAAACTTGGTGCTAGAAAACTATTGAAATAACAGTAAACAGTTGAAAAATAGCTGAGCTTTCTCTTTTAAAGCAAAAAATGAAAATCTGCTTATATTTCAAAAATATGAAAATAAAGAACATTCAAATGATATAAGAATCTAAAAAATTGATCCACTAATGATAAAGTTATTAGAATTAAAAATTCTGCTGCTATCAGGGTTGGTTTTTTTGGCCGATTTTATAGCCGCTATTCGGTCATATTCCCAATTGAAAATAGTATGTTTTTTTCCCAATTTTGATACAAAAATTCCCAATCGAAAACTTAATTTTTTTTTAAATCGATCTTTGGGGAACGTAAAATTGTGCGAATAGCCGGCATCTAAACAACCCATCTGTTAAGGAGATGCTTGATTTCTCAGTATAAGTTTTTCGAGCGTCTAACGATATCGACGACCTTCGAAAGTGAAAGTAGATCAAAATGTCTCACAATTCAAAATATTACGTTAAAAAACTTTTAAAAAAAGCACTGATAAAGACAGAAAAATTGATTTAATGTTTGAGCAAGCGACTCTTTCGGAAAATAGTTGTACTTCAGAAACGGTAACGGCGAATGAAACTGCAAGTACTAGAGAGAAATTGCCTTCAACGGTGACCGTGAGTTACCACAATGATGTTCCTTCTCGGGGTTTTAAAAGTTCTAGCAACGAGTCTAAGTCAGATACAGTTGTCCCTGTCACTGATCAAAGGTTATTTAGTTCCAACAAATACGTGTTGAAGTATGAATTGTTGTATTATAGTGGTGCAAAAGTTGGGTATTGTTGCAAATTGTGCAAGCTTTTTTCAGCTACAGATGAAAACATCTTCATAAATGGTACAGGTGAATCAATAACACAGTTCAAAAATATGAAAACCAGAGACCTACTTTTGTGAACTAAATCCTATTAGACAAGGAATATAATATTATTGCCTCAGGAAACTTGAAAATGTTTTGGGGTTTTTTTTTCCCAATTTTGGGCAAAATGCCGCTAAAATTCCCAACTTCAAGGGTATGGGTCATGTTCCCAAAATACTGGAAAAAAAACCCTGGGCTATATGATAAATATAAATATTGGTTCTTGCCAACCAGTAAATCTGCTAAATTCTGGCAACTGGTGCTTGTGATGTCATCGTGCAATAGGCCTATTTGTTAATGATTACCTATAATATGCACAAATATTAGCAGTACATATTTCACATATTCTTCGATGTTTGAAAATTGTTTTATAACCTTAATTATATACATATATTTAGAATTAACTTGAGTGTGGTAACAACCTCAATTACAACTTCAACATACAAGATCTTTAAGCTGAACACTCATTTTCCACTGTTTTGACATTGTTGTAAAGATTCCCTAAATTATCATAAAAATTAAATTATGGGTTAAACAATAAGTTTTTTTTCAAAATATTGATGTTTTGTTATTGCTAAAAATTTGGAAAAAGGTTACAGAAACTTTTGAGATTTTTCTAAATGGTGGTGCTTATCATATGAATGGCAAATGAATTTTTGGATAGTTATTATAGATTTAGATATATTTTTTTCAATTGTTTTATTTGAATAATGTTTCTTTTAAATATACATTTGTAGTCTATGTCTGGGAAAATTAAGCCCTAGCCTGCTCTGCCAAGTCTTGACTCTCCTAGATAGTGTTAGGTATCGGACTCAAAAATCACTATCGATTATCGGACCACCACTATCGATTGTCTGCCGATAGTATAATCGAGTTTCGCACTAATTATGGCCCCTTTTCTTTTAAGGTACCAATCCTTGTATGTATCTTTTTATACAGTAGTGACCACATTTTGAGAATAAATAAACTCTTGTCTCCAAGATTAAAGTATGATTTGCTCTTTGAATTCAAAACAAACAACACAAATACCTAATACTACTTTGTGACAGTCAATTTTTTGTAAAATACAACTTTATGGCAGTCAATAACAGGTCAAAATATCAATGAGTACTATTGTAGATCACTAATTTAACTACAGTAGATATATAAGTTTATAATGTTATGTTACTACACACTATGATTTTCTAAAGTAGTATTAACCATGTTAAATTATAAGGTTTTGAATACAAAAAAGACTTGAGGATTGTCTGGAATTAAGAGATTCGGTCGGGAAACTTCTTTTTGACTCAAGTAAAAAAGTTACGCCATAGGCAATTCAGCGGTGGTAGAACATTAAAATAATTGATTTTTAAAAAGGACTATTGATTGTTGCCGATTTTGGGGTGGTCCGTTTAGTTATCGATTTTCAGAGACAATCGGGACAACACTACTCCTAGATGTGTTGTTCTGCAAAAAATTTATTCAAAATATCTACTAATGTTTGTTTTTGTGCCCCCACGTTAGTGGCGGGCATTTAGATTTACCCTTGTCCGTCCGTCCTTCCGTCCGTTCACTTTTGTGTCGCACGTAACTCAAAAAGTATATGACCTAGAGTCATGAAACTTTACAGGAATGTTGATCAGCATGTGTAGTTGTGCACCTGGGTATTTTCGTCTGGATATTTTTAGTATTTTCAGAGTTATTGCCCTTGACTTAGTAAAATTTTGCAATTTTCAACTTGTGTCGCATGTAACTCAAAAAGTATTTGACCTAGAGTCATGAAACTTTACAGGATTGTTGATCAGCATGTGTTGTTGTGCACCTGGGTATTTTTGTCTGGATATTTTTAGTATTTTCAGAGTTATTGCCCTTGACTTAGTAAAATTTTGCAATTTTCAACTTGTGTCGCATGTAACTCAAAAAGTATTTGACCTAGAGTCATGAAACTTTACAGGAATGTTAATCAGCATGTGTAGTTGTGCACCTGGGTATTTTTGTCTGGATATTTTTAGTATTTTCAGAGTTATTGCCCTTGACTTAGTAAAATTTTGCAATTTTCAACATGTGTCGCACGTAACTCAAAAAGTATTTGACCTAGAGTCATGCAACTTTACAGGAATATTGATCAGCATGTGCAGTTGTGCACCAGGTATTTTCGTCTGGATTTATTTAGAATTTTTAAAGTTATTGCACTTCACTTAGAAAATTTTTGCAATTTTCAACTTGTGTCGCAAGTTACTCAAAAAGGATTTGACATAGTCATTAAACCTAAATATGGGCAGGTTGCTCAGCATATTTAGATTTGCACCTGGGGTTTCGCTTGTGGATTTATCCAGTATTTGTAGAGTTATTTCCCTTGACTTAGTAAAAAGATTGACAGAACAGTGGCGCGGTGGGGGCACCCGTGTCCTATGGACACATTTCTAGTTTTAATCCAAAATGGATGACTCGGTCTGACTTCACAGATGATGATGAATTTAAAATATAAAATGCTTTTCTGATGATTTGATTGGTTGGCTTAAATAGCTTTATCATATGTCCAAATGGGCTTGAACCTGAAGGAATAATTCATCAATGACCATGCGAAAGTAAACATTTAAAAACCCTAGAAGTATTCAGTCATTACCACAGGTGCTTGAAACAAGCTATTTTTAATTTTGTATATGGGCAACATACTATAAGACTAGTATTATAGTATATAGCCCATATAGAACATTAAAAATAGCTTGTTTCAAGTACCTGTGGTCATTACTCTTGCTACATGTTTATATGTCATGTATGTGTGACTGTCATTGCAACTGTCCAAAAAGTTTATTCTGGTTTATACATTAATTTTTGTTTTTATTTATCTGTAAAAATTGTTCATATTGCAAATTTGCTTGCCATCTGTATGAATGCATTGCATGGAGAAATAAGAATTGCATAACAAAATTTTGTTATTTAAAACTTTCTGGTGTTGTGTAACAATACTCTGAGGGCTAGGCATATTGTGTTGCAGAGATTCTTCAATGAATCATTACACCTGTGATATTGTTATATTTAAAGCAGTAGAGGCCTGCCTTTTAGTTCAAGTTTATATGTGTTATTTTTAGCTCGACTATTCGATAAGAATAAGTAGAGCTATTGCAGTCACCCGAGCGTCCGCGTCGGCGTAACCACTTATGTTAAAGTTTTTGTAATAGTTCAAATATTTTCAAAGTCCATTGACATATGGCTTTGAAACTTTGCACACTTGTTCACCATCATGACCCCAACCTGTAGACAGGAGGAGGTAACTCTATCAAGCATTTTGACAGAATTATGCCCCTTTTTCGACTTAGAATTTACGTTAAAGTTTTTGTAAAAGTTCAAATATTTTCAAAGTCCATTGACATATGGCTTTGAAACTTTGCACACTTGTTCACCATCATGACCCCAACCTGTAGACAGGAGGAGGTAACTCTATCAAGCATTTTGACAGAATTATGCCCCTTTTTCGACTTAGAATTTACGTTAAAGTTTTTGTAATAGTTCAAATATTTTCAAAGTCCATAGACATATGGCTTTGAAACTTTGCACACTTGTTCACCATCATGACCCCAACCTGTAGACAGGAGGAGGTAACTATATTAAGCATTTTGACAGAATTATGCCCCTTTTTCGACTTAGAATTTACGTTAAAGTTTTTGTAATAGTTCAAATATTTTCAAAGTCCATTGACATATGGCTTTGAAACTTTGCACACTTGTTTCAACATCATGACCCCAACCTGTAAACAGGAGGAGGTAACTCTATCAAGCATTTTGACAGAATTATGCCCCTTTTTCGACTTAGAATTTACGTTAAAGTTTTTTGTAATAGTTCAAATATTTTCAAAGTCCATTGACATATGGCTTTGAAACTTTGCACACTTGTTCACCATCATGACCCCAACCTGTAAACAGGAGGAGGTAACTGTATCAGGCATTTTTTTTACTATCAAGCACTAAGAATAGTCGAGCGTTGCTGTCCTACCGACAGCTCTTGTTATTATTTTAATTTCTTGGCAAAGCAACAAATCAAAAACCTTTTTCTCCAAGAGCATGTTTCCAAAGATTTCTGTGCAGAATGATTTTTCATTTGAATTGGCATAATAATTTATTCAATCTGAGTTATTTATATAATTAAGTCTGAAAACAGTACTTTACCATGTCACATGGATCCTGTACATGTAATAAAACTGTATTTGTCTAGATTGCAAATTTACTTGACTTGTAAGCCAATATAATTATTAGGTTAGGAAAAAATTGTTTGGTAAGCACAATAGAGAATGGGGCTCATGGGATGAGAATACTTTTAACATTAACTTTAATTATTAATTTTTATGCTAAAAGAATTAAGAACTAAAAAAGATATTATAATAATAAGAGTTGTTGTTGTTGTTGTTTTTTCCATGTATATAATGATACATTCCTGACTTTGATTCTTTAATGTATTATTCATTATATAAAATAAAAATGCATTTCAGGTGATTGATATATAAAGCATGGGTATTCAAGGATTACTGCCATTCTTAAAGAAGATTCATGAGCCAGTGAATGTAGCTCAGTTTGCAGGATGTACAGTAGCAATAGATGCATACTGTTGGCTTCATAAAGGAGCATTTTCTTGTGCAGAAAAACTTGCATTAGGGGAGAAAACTGACCAGTATGTATTATAAAGTTTAACATATTTTTTATGCCCTGGAATGCACTGTTTTTCCAGAGATAAAACCAATTAAAATAATGCAAAATTCAGGGTTTTCATGTTTTCTTACAATTTGAACTTGCACCCATGGTTTTAATGTACCTCTCCTGATACAAACACCCTTGCTCTCCTTTATATCCCCATGGACCATCCCCAGAATAATGACATTCTTATATTCTCTTCCTTGAATCAAGAAAAAGAAGTTGGTAGTTTTGAAATAATTATTTCATTTTCAGAAATTAGGGGATTGAATGCTAATTTTTCACATGCCATTCCGGATATTTACTTGGAAAATTTTATGGGCCTGACACCATTCTTTCCAATTTAAACAGCATAGGTTGTTGTAAAATAAACTTTAAAAAAAAAACTAATTATAAAACAGAATTCCATGAATTATTGTGATTAATTCCAGGAATGACTCTTGTTATTTTTTTCTCCTTTTAGGTATGTATACTACTGTATGAAATACATAAATTACATGTTGTCAAAGAACATCAAGCCAGTGATGGTGTTTGATGGCTGCCATTTACCTTCAAAGAAAAATGTTGAAAAATCCAGAAGAGAGTGAGTTCTATTTTAGCAAAAAATTTGTTTTAAGTTCATTAAATCATATTTGCAATAGTAACAATTATACAATGTTGCACAATAAGCCGGGAAGTTTTGAAAGGTGCCTTTGTAGATTTCATTTGAGATATGACACCTAAAAGGAACCTCTGCTTAAAAACATATTTTACAATGTTTACACTGCTTAATTTGATTTGTATAATTGACATCACCTGTTTTTAAGTTAAGAAATGTTCATTGTCATTTTAATTGCTTTTTGTAACATTTTCTTGGCATGTTTTTTTGTCATATCAAAGGCAGTTAGCAGTATAGACTTTGGCAAGATTATGATTACCCCACTAATCCATTGCATCCATTAATTTTTCAATACGTGACAAAAACCATTTTTTATTTCTAATAAATTGCTATAACCAAACTACTGATGGTTTCTTTCATCTTTCTTTTGTGAAATCAAAAAAGACATACATTGTTATTACCTGCTAGTTATAAGCAAGGAGTTCTGTAAAGCTAAAACCTATGCTTGGTATAACAAATGTATTTTAGGAAGAGAGAGTTGAACAAGAAGAAAGCAGCGCAATTTTTACGTGAAGGAAAGCGTGCTGAGGCCAGAGAATGTCTTCAAAGATGTATTGATATAACACCAGAAATGGCTCTTGAGTTGATGAATGTAAGGCATTAAAATCTGTCAGTTTATATAATCTTCTTTTAAACAAGCCTTAACAGAGATACTTTGTAGATACATGTAGCTTAAAGATTTTTTTTGTTGGTCTTATTGTGTGATTTTCAGGACTATTTTTCACAGGTACGGGAAGGGGCTCTCTTCTTAAATTTAGGGAAAATAACACCATACTTTAGTAAAAGGGAAAGTTAAATTTGATGCAAATAAAATTTAAGAGGAACTGTATAACTTTTGGATTTGCCTGTATACCTTCCTGCTCTAGAATGGAAAAAAGCCCCTGGTTTCAATTCAGTTTCTTTCATAAACATAAACAAACAAACATACTTTTTATAGGAATTGTTTCAGTAAGTAAAAAAAAAACATTTTTCATTATCTTAAACTAAATATGCTTCTTTACACCAGCAATAAATAAGGCTGTATCCGAATCAAATATATCTGTTATAAACAGCTTCATTCATTGAATTAATTATTTAAATTCAGCACTTGTTATATTACTTGTCTGACATTGTCTGTATTAAATTATGAAAGAAAAGGCATTGCTTGTTCTTAAGTTTCAAGTCGTAGGCTTTTTTTTTCCAAGATCACTAGATTCTGAATAACAAGTATCCATTGGTCAATCTGTCTGAGAAGTTTGTCAGATCACTTATGGCAAACTTGATGAAATAAAATTTTTAGAGGAAGACTGAATAACATTGGGATTTTCCTGACAACCCACAGGGTCACTATTTGAGACACTGTAATAATAATAATATAATTCTTGGGAAAACGCTGACTGTGGCACAATAGTTTTATATAACCCTCTCAGGTAGATGTTTTCACTCTATGTGACATGAAAGAATGTGGGGTCAATTTATTTCCCACAAAAGTATAAAACGGTTATATACATTATAATAATTATTGGGGGGAAAAAACAGAATAAAGAAGCAAAATATTGTCATGATTTTTTGATGATTGTAGACATGTCGCGACCGTGGTGTAGATTGTATAGTGGCTCCTTATGAAGCAGATGCCCAATTAGCTTACCTCAACAAGATTGGTGTAGCTCAGGTCATTATTACGGAGGATTCAGATCTCCTGCTGTTTGGTTGTGAAAAGGTTTACTTTTTGTCATATTTGTTAAGTTTTACTTTGAAAGCTTCAGAAATCAGTTTCTTTGTTTGCTATGTTAGTGTTAATTGTTTAGGCAAGTAACATTTTTGAGAAAAAAAAGTATGTTATCTCCCTTTGTCTTTATGTGGCTTGAACACTTTGCTTTTGAAAGCAGGTTTTTTATTTGCTGAAAAATTAATAAATCTAGAGTTCACTTATGTAATTCACATGTATATCTACACGTAATTTTACCCTGGCAAATGGCACATTACATGTTGCAGAGGATGTTTCCTGGCCACTGGGCCATAATAAAACCCTTCATATTGTTTATGTAAAGAAAAGATCACTTCATTAAAAAAAAATCATTTGATATAAAATTAGAGTAAATCCTGTGGACATACAATGTATAGTTTAGTAAAATTATTATGCTACTTAAATGCTAATTGCCTGTTTTTGTCTAGGTATTGTTCAAGATGGACCATGCTGGGAATGGCATCCTGATTGAACGTAAAAGATTAAATGAAGTGACAGACATACAGTCGGGACATTATTTATTTGACAAGTTCCGGTACATGTGTATATTGTCCGGTTGTGATTACCTACCGTCCCTTTCCGGTATAGGATTGGCAAGGGCTAACAAAGTGTTTAAGATTGCCAGACAAGCGGATATTAAACAGGTAAGGAGTTCAGTTGTTGCTAATGAGAACTTTCCTGTTTTCCTGCATGTTCAAAGTCCAAATTGTAGCAAACAACGCAATACAGTACTTTCCCCACTGTAAGTTTCTTAGCTGCTTCAATAGTCTAGAAAAAGTCTTATAAATATGTATATAATCTTAATTCAATTTAAGTAAAGAATAATTGTAACCTTTTCTTTTACTAGATAATGCAGTGTCTATTCTAGAAATTCTCCTCTCAGTTTAAAATGTAGGAGCGAATTATTGCAAACACAAGGAGTGCCAACAATGTTGTTTATTTGATTTTAGGATGGGACTTACAAAGTAGTCCGCTATATGGCTCTCGGTAGCCTCATTCGTCTTCACTTTGTTAACATTTTTGATACACTGAAACATTCCACTAGATGATATCCTTTCAATGAATGTATTTATTTATGGTGACAAGAATAATCCCGCTCAACTTCTTCAAGGAGAAAATGATTTTATTCATGTTACAGTTACCTTCCTTCTGGTTCCATTGTTCATGTAAACACTGTATACTGTAACTCTTGTTCAGTGTGCCAAGAAAATGCAATTAACAAATAAATTAGGACACACATGGATGCAGAATGTTTTGAAAAATTATGCACAGCTTAGCGTAATTTTTCTTATTGGTCTGTTTGACTTACGTTATCAATCAGTCAGGTATCAGACTGTTATAATAACCTCAAATTCAAAGTCAGGGCACACAGAAATGGATGAATTGAGTAAATATAATCTGAAATTGAGCCGCGCCACGACAAAACCAACATAATGGGTTTGCGACCAGCATGGATCCAGACCAGCCTGCACATCCGTGCAGTCTGATCAGGATCCATGCTGTTCGCTATCAGTTTCTCTACTTGTAATAGGGTTTGTAAGCGAACAGCATGGATCCTGATCAGACTGCACCGATGCGCAGGCTGGTCTGGATCCATGCTGGTCGCAAACCCATTATGTTGGTTTTGTCATGACGTGGCTCAAATCATTTCAAAAATTGTGCAAGGAAGATAAAGTTTTGGGAAAGATGACAAAACTATCCAGTGATACACCAGTGAAGGCTGATTTATACATAATATCAAGTTCAACTTTACAGCAACACTTTATAACATGGGCTATGCTATAGCACAGAACAGTTTTAGATATTTTAAGTTTCGCAATTACATGTATATCCTTTTTTATACATAACCAAATAGTATTTTTATAGTACAAAATAATACTTGTTTAAATTGTTTACATGATTTAGAAACAAATTTGTTATTGTGAATGATTTTCATTAGTTGAAATACATGTATACCAAAACATTACTGTTATATGTACAGGTAAGTGGGATAGGTAATACTGTGAATTTCTACCTGTATTCAACTTGTTGAACGAACTATTTAAACTTCTGTTTGAGATTTTGGACCCCAAGTTCAGCATTATAATATATCAATATACTATGCAGAAATATGTTTCAAGATGCAGACTTTCAAGGCATATATTTTTATTTTCAGTTACTTAAGAAGTTACCTACCTACCTCAAGTCTAGTATATCAGTACCTCAAGAATATATAGATGGCTTTGTTGCTGCCAACAACACTTTCCTGTATCAATTTGTCTACGACCCCCTGCAGAGACGGCTGGTTCCTCTTAATCCATATCCACAAGATGTAAACCCAGATGAACTTTCATATGCTGGTTCCCCTTTTCCTGCAAAGAAAGCTTTACAGATAGCATTAGGAAATGTCAATATCTACTCTGGTGAAATATTTGCATCGTTTGATCCAGAAACTTTTGTGGTAAAAATCTATTTGTTTTGTGTTACAAAGAATTCTTTAAGTTTTTGAGTTTGTAAACAAGAGCTTAAAGAAAACCATTTAGTAATTTTACATCTGGTCATGTACCAAAATCATGGAAAATGTAGAAATATCCAGTTCTCCTTAAGACATGTTCATAGACTGATCATTTATTCAGACATGTCAAATTCAGTTTTAAAAGAAATCATTATTCATCTTGCTGAGTACTATAAATCTCTGGTTTTAATGATGTCACTGCTCTCTTCTAAAAGAAATTACTATGTTGACAGAATTACTCAAAGGTCAAAGGTGAAAAGTAACTTTATAACTTCTCTTGCCATCCAGTTTTATAAATGTAAGAACCTTCTCATATTAATCTTGTTTTTTGATGCTTGAATGTTGATTTCATTAACCTAGTTTCATCAGATATATATTTCATGTCTATATGATAATTGTAATGTTTATGATATTTAGGCAAACATAATAAACAATTAAAATAATTTTCAAGAATTTGAACTTTAAGGTTGCATTGATATACCTACCTAGTTAATAAAGATAATTATTTGCAGCCAAAATATGTGAAAAAGAAGCCTCAGATGTTACACATGTTGAGTATATGGGACAAGAACTACAGGGTGAAACCAAGAGTTCCCCTACACGAGACCCAGGTAGCTGACAGACCTAATCTGAAAGGCAAAGAAATCACAGTAAAGGCAAATTTGAAGAAAAGAAGTCCACACAAGAGAGTGAGAGAAGGTAGGTTTAAGATCTTGATGTCACCTACTCTTAATTCATGAAAAAGTATTTCCAATAAATAACTTTATCACATAAAAAAGATTACAGGAGTGTAATAAAGCCATTTAATAAAAACGATATTAGACTAGTGTTATAACACTTTGATGTCACGTTATTTGCGTTACATACAAAGTGTTAAAACTCTCTAAAGTTAATGTAACATTATAGACGCATCAATGAAAATTGATGCTTTTTAACTGAAAACTGCTGTAATTGTGATAATGTGATAAATAGAATATTATATAAGTGTAGATTCAGTTCTTAATTTATCGAACTTGTTGAATAAAACAATATTATGCTCACCAGAGGCTCGCATAATATGATTTTATTCAACTCATTCAATAAATTTAGTATTAAATCTACACTTATGCAATATCCTCTTTATGTTTATCCTCTGAAATTGATTTGTTATAAGTTAAGATAAAATCTTTTATAACTTTAAACTGTTTATACTGCTATTTGTGATAGTGATTTTGATATAAATACAGTTAACTCTCAATTAGTCAAAATCGCCTTACTCAAAATTCCTTTTAAGATGAAGAATTTCTTAAGTCCTGTTGAATTGCTGTCTTTATCTTTTGTACTTGAACTCCCCTTACGTCAAATTTTGACTTACTGAGATTCCTGTTTAGTCGAAAGGAATTTTTGGTCCTATCAATTAAAGTTCAACATATTTTCATCTTAATAAGTGGAAGTATGAAAACAAACTACTGGTCAAAGGTTGGCGGAGACATCAAGGTGAGATGTTGTCAACCTGGTTCACATGTTTCATAGTAATTTTAATTTGTCGCTCATCATGTATTATCAACACATCATAAAAGTGTGTTTTATCAACGAAATGATATTTGTATGATTAATGTTCTGTCGTTTTACATATGCATACATTAATATGTACTGCTGGTTCACGATATTTGCTACTTTCGTTTTCGTCCGATGATTAATTCATATTCTCCAAGCTATTAGACAAATTGTTGTTTAAATAAATGTGTAATTGTGCTTCTATAGTAATGAATTGTCATGAGTGCTTATTGTAAACATGTGCTTAATATTATTACTGATGAATACTGACAAACTTTAGTTTATGTCATTGCTACGGATGTTTGTGTTTATGTTTCACTATTAATATACATGTATTAAATTTAAATAATATCTTTCTGTTCATTAATAATTTGAAGTTGTAAGTGATTAACCGTCATTTCATTGGTTAAGTATTGCAGCATAGATGATATCAACTATAACAAACCTTCTACTTTGGACATTCAATCAGGCAGACATTTGAATTCCGTTTCTCTTGAAGTGAAATTCCCAGTCCCCTGAAATTAGAGTTACCAAGAGTCAACTGTATAAGGATAAATTTAACCTTTAGCCTGTTTCTCCCCATGCCGCCAGTGTAGACCAAGATCAGCTGGCACATTTATGCCATCTTATCTTGTCTGCAATGTTTGCTGTTCAATTAATGCATATCTAAAAAAAAAATATAACGATGAATGGTTTTGTCCTGATTGAAAGAATGATGATCCTATTTATGATATTTAGTATGGTGAGGCTAAAAGAGGCAACAGTATAGAGTAAGGTCAGACTGCTTGTGAAATGATAATTGGTTCTCTTAAATGCTTGATGCTTTAATTAGGAAATATATAAATTAACCATTTAAGTTATTAAAACCAAGAAAACGCTTTGTTTAGTTCATGTTATGTTGAATTTCTTCAGTTGAGGATGCACAAGAAGTGAAATCTAACACGGAACTTTATGATATGTACCACTCACCTGTAAAAAAGAGGGCAAGAGTTGCCAATATTGATATATGAGTGCAGAGACATGTAGGGCTTAAAAAGAGATTTAAAGGGTTAATATTAAGTAAGGAAATTTTAAACGGGGTTGTTTTAAATAAGGCAATTCGTACTAAAGGGCCCCTTTTCCCAAATATGCATTTTTTAGGTTTTAAATTCCCATTAAATGCCTCAGACAAAGAAAATTTTTTCCTTCTTTATAAAGGGCAAACTGATTTAATAACTTTTGAAATTAAGGGTTTAAAGGCATTTAAATGTTTATAACCAAAAAGTAATTAATTTTTGAAGGGACATTTCTTTGGGGGGAAACTATACTAGTAGCAAATTAAAATTTTTAATTTCCCCATACAAAATATTTGCATAAAACTTAAAACTGAAACTAATTCCCAAAAATAAAATTTTGGAGGGTCCGGGAAATTTTAAATTTGGCCAATTGAGTAACTAAAGGAAAAACTTTTTACAAGGCACAAAAAAAGACCATTTTTTAAAATAAAACATCTCTGGGCCCAAAAACCCCCCTTAAAATTGACGGGAATTTTTCCCCTGCCAGTATATAGAATATGTTTTTTGATTAATGAAAAACCACTCTAATTTGACTCATTTTTGGGAGAAAAGGGACAAAAGGTTTAAATTTTAAAAATTCAACCCAAAAATGAGGGAATTTCAAAGATAGAAAAAACTAAAAAAATTTTTTTTCTGGGGCTTACGGGTGTGGTCTTAAGTAAAGTGGGTTTTGGGTGCCTTTTTAATTTTTATGTGCCCCCAAATAAATAAGCTTTTTACTTTCCCCCAGGCTAATTTCTTTTTCCTGGTATTATTTGCATTTACAAGAGAAATTTTCTTTTAACTACAAACTAAAAAAACATGACGAAAAATTTATTTTTTATAAAATTATATTTTTTAACAAAACCTTTAAATTTAATACAAAAGCCCTTTAATTTAGAGAAAACCTAAGTTAAAAATTAAAAAGAAATTTTTTTGGTTTAAGAAAATTTTAAACCTTGAAAATTTAAGGGTTTTTTTTGAGAGAACAAAAAAAAATTTTTATCATTTCATAAAGAAAAATTTTTTAAAATTTACAAAAACAAGTTTTTTAGAAAAGGGTCTTGGGTAAGAAATCATTACGGTAACAAAAAAAAAGGGTTTTTATATTCCCAAAAACAAAGTAAATGGGGGTTATATATGTTTATTTTGTCGGGTTGCGTCTAAAGGGTTTTTAATTTAAATTTAAGGGTTTTCAAGACAGATTTTTTGGGTTTCAATTTGGTTTTAAAAAGCAACCTTTTTGGGGAACCCCCCTTGGTTGAATTGTTTTTGTTTCCCCTGTTTTTTTGGTTCAATTTCAAACTTTTTTTCCCAGCCCTTTAACTTCTATTTCAACTTTTTGACGCTTTTTTTCCTTTGTTTTTTTACAAAAAAAATTTTTAGTTCTCAGATGAAATTTTTAACCAGGGAAAAAAAGAAAAACAATTTGGGAAAAAGAAATTTTTTTTTTACAAATTTCCCCTTTGTTTTTTTTTCCAATGATTTATTTTCAGGGGGCATCCCTGGCTTGCAAATTCTGTTTTTCAAAAACCCCTTTTTTCCCCTATTTTTAAAAAAAAAAAGTCATTAAACAACAGAAAAATTTAGTTTAATTCTTTTGCAAAGAAAATGTCCTAACTTTAGTTTTAATAGTATTTTCAAAATGCCTTGACACCAAGTCCACCGCTTTTTTTGTCAGTTATTTTGGTGTTGACTGGTGGATTTTGATCTGGGATACTGCGTACCCCCGGCTTTGAAATATATATTTGTCTCAATTTTTCAAGCACACTCTTTTTTTCAAAAGGTTAAGGTGTTTTTTTGTACAACAAAGGTTCTCAATTAAATTTTTTCTCTTTTAGGAAATGATGATGAAGAAAAACCTGAAGAGGAATTTAAACCTGATCCTAAAAATAGCCCTCGGTTTTTTAACTCTCTGTCTGAGGCTCATCCTGAGGTCAAAGTTGAATCTGAAAATGAAACTGACAACGATGTAGATCAAGAAAATATTGTATCACCACGAAGAAATATTTTTGCAAGCAAATCACCATCAAAGAGGCCAAGGTTTAACCTTAATGCACCGAAGCCAAAGCAATTAAAGAGTCGGTAAGTAGCAAGAATTGCAATGATATTTGATTAGATTGATAATGGTACTGTGCTAAATGTATATGTCGTAGTCAATCTGTTAAATTTTTAATCCCTTTTGTCAGAACACGATGAGATTTTAATTGTGCCGTCTTACAACCTTGAAATGTTTTAGTTACTATTTTACAGTAATTGCTTATAATTTGTAAATGTTGGTTGTTATTTAAAGAGATTTTAATGTAAAAATTCTAAAATTGGTCAGTGGACACAGATTGTTTTACTGTGTGGTCCTTAACTGGTGTCACAGGGCAGGCAAATGAATCTCTTAATCTGACACATACAGGTTTAGTCATCTAAAATTCTAAAATATTACACAATTATTATTATTTTATTTATTCATTAATTTGAGAAAAAAAATTTGTTTTCATTTTTCTTTTTCAGATTTTTTGCAAACAATAGTATTAGCAAGACTGAAGATTCTGCGTTTTCTAAAGGTGAAAGTGGTAAATCATCTCCGAAAAATGAAGGGTTATCATCATTATACAAACCTGTACACAGTAACACAGCTAATGTGTATTCATCAGTTACTCATCACGCTAGTAATGACTCAGAAGTTGCTCAAGATCCTAAAAAAGACTTGGAAAAACAAGCATCAGATGAAAGTGATCTAAGTTCTGTGTCTATAACAGAAGTTTCAAAGCATCATTTTAAATTCTCAGATGCAAAGGGAAATAACTCTCCAAAGTCTTCTCCGAAAGGTGGATCAGCTTTTAAGTGGTCTAAATTCAAGTTTAATAGGACCAGTAGCACAGACAGTTTATCAGTATCTCATAAAAATTCGAAAGAAGTCAAAAATCCATTCAAAAAAGTAGTGTCTTAAAGGGTTTTTTTGAAAACATTTTTAAAAAAAAAGAAAGGTAAATTGATAATTTAGTTTAAATCCAAAGCCCCGATAAAAGTAGTTTTTCCCTTTACAGTGACTCCCTGGCAACTGAAAAGGTTTATTTATTTCCTTTTAGCCCCAAAAAGAAATTTCCCTTTCAGTATTGGAAATTTAGACTGTAAATGATTTGAAAATTCAAGAAACCTAAATTCACCCAAACTCTTCTATGATAGTCAAAAAAAGTTTAAAACCCCGCCTGGTGACCCGATAAAAGTTTGGGAAAGAAGATAGAACTTGTAACAAGAATAAAAAGGGGTTGGCCAAACTTTTTTGTCAAGAATTAAAAGGAAATTTTCCCAATTTTTTTGCTTAAAAATGAAAAAGAAATTAAAAAATGAGGTTCCAGTTCAAAACCTTGGAATTTTGCAGAGTAACTTCAAAAAATAAATTCTAATCAGCCAAATCGAAAACAGTTAATGATAAAAGGAGGAAACTCAGAAAGTCAAACTGTGGTGCTGATTGATTCAGATGAAGATTCTACATGTGGCCTCCAGATCCCAGCACCTTTTCCACGGGTAATTTTTTTTTTAATAAGGCCTTGGTCAATAGTTAACACGGGCAGATTTAAAATAGGAGAAAATATGTTTAGACCTTTCATCCATAAATAAGTGTTTATATAACCTGTTTAAAGTATTGGTAAAATGTAGAAGGATGCCAATTAACTTAAATATTTGCGAAATTATTGTGTTTAAAGTTTCCTGCTTATGATATAAATACTGACAAAATTTACATACATCATATGTAAATGAAGTAATTTTTATATATGTACTTGTATACATATTAACCCATTACTTCATGAGCATTTTGTGAAAAATGGCTGTTTTCATTGAAAAGTCTCCCGTTACAAGTTCAAATTGCTATAATACTATAAAAACTGCTTCAACACTAATCAAACTTGGCACAAATGTTGACTGGACCATTGCCCTTGCAACAACATGCTCAGGCTTAAATTTTCTGTTACCATGGCAACGAGGGGACATCTCAAAATTGCCAAAAAATCACTATTTTGCGTTGATTTTTTCCATCAAAATTGACTTCAAAGTGCTGCAACTTCTCAATGGATTGAGATAGAGTCAAATGCTTTTCAGCGTTTGTTACACGTTACCTTATGATCAATCTGGGGTCATTTACAGCCTCTCACAAGTCCAAAATTTTCTTGGCGATGAGGGGGACTACGCCCCCCTTCAAACCCCCCAAACAGAAGGGGGCACATCCCCCTTCTGGCAACCCCCTGATATATCTTTTGGTTGGGGGCTGCAACGAAAAAGAGGTCACTTTTTTTAACAACATTTTTCAAACAAAAACAAGTGTTTGGGGCCTAAATAAGGCATTTTTTCATCATTTGAGACAACAAAAAAGGGGGGTGAAAAAGGCATTAAAAGGCGTGTATATGAAGTAATGGGTTAAAGGAACTCCAAAAAGGTTCAAAAGCTTAAAATTTGAATTTCTTTCATAGATCAACTGGGGAAAATAAAACAGAAATATGCAAAAGATGATTAAGAGATATACCAAGAAATAGAAAATCATATTTTTGTGCTATTGTTAGCCTGATTCAAGCAAAAAGCATTGCAATCTTTTCAATTTTGGGTCAATTTTTCACAGTGAAAATAGTTATTCTGGAAAAAACGGAGCAAATGATTTGAATTTTTGCTCGCAAATTATTGGTCTAGGCCTATATCAAATGGAACATAAGTCTTGAAAAACTATTTTCTGTCCCGTCACTAAAACCTCAGTGGAGTCCCTTTTTTTGAAAGTTTTATGTATGATTTTACTGGTTTTGTTTATGCATGAATGTTTCAAGAAGTTGAATGAATTAATGTATAAATGATACATATCTCTGAAAAAAATGTACAGTTATTGAAAAATTTGTTGATTTGATTAAATTATTAGACAATATAGCGGTAATTGAGGAAAACTGCATCATCATATGTTATTTCAGGCTAACTGGATAACTTTTTTTTTCATAAAAAAAACACCTGTCAATGGTGAAACATGTATGAAATTACTAGGTTATTTCCAGGCACAGCTATACCAAAGGGTATGACAAAATTGGTGCTAGTTGTATCATCATTCGGTACTGCATTTTAAATGACAGGCTAATTATATCATGACACTTGTTGAAAAATGTTGTTGACATCACTTCAGAAAAGAAATAAATTAAATGCTAAGTGTGAATGTAACTGAAATGCTATGGTCAGTGCGTAGGTTTTAAGACAGAAAGACGAAAGAAGAAATGTTTTGTCATAAAAATGTCTGAGAGCTTTGCAGGATTTTGTTAATGAAATATTTAGTCATACTATACAGATGAAAAAAGCATTGATTAACATTTTCAATGAGCCGGTATTGACCATTCAGGGAGTGTTTAAACAGTTCAATACACCTTGTTAAGACTAGGGATGATTTTAATAACCCAACCCTAGGACAATCTACAATAGTGATGTGAATACAGTCACTGAATAGCAATTGATGTGCGAGTTTAATAATCTTTTTCTTTTCTTTTTTCACAGACTGAAAAGATTGGTGTTTCGTCTGCAACTAACAAAGGCAAGTTACAGCTTTATATTTGTCTTTTTTCAATACAGTACAAAACAACAAAAAAAAGTACATCCATTAGATGATATGGTTGTTCTTTACATGGATTTATTTTAACTTTTTGTATTTCCAAATGGCAACTCGATTCCAAACATCTTTTTCTAAATGGTAAATGAAATCAGATCTGTGTTCAAATATAAATGTAAGAATATATAAAAGAATAAGATTTGTTTTAGAATTAGCAAAAAAAAAACAGTACTGGGTAAGAACCAGTTTCCGGACAATACCAGTTTCCGGACAAGTATTATAACGGCTTAATTTTGGGTTTATCGATGACGATCGGTATTTACATGTCATGAAGATGCTTGGTTTGATTGTTTGTGAAAATAAACTTCCTTCCAAGTTGATACATCATTAAAATTTCGTAGGATATCTTACCTGTGTTTTAAAAACAGCCTAATATTCCTTTGGGGCATGTAATTTGTACTGCGCATGCGCAATATTTTGTTTATTTCGGGATATAATTTGGGGTAGCAATTAATGCACAATGTACTTCATTTGAAGTTCATTGGGTGTAAATTCCCCAGAGCCAAATCTGTATCGTATCGGAAAACGGTGTTTAGCTAGGTTTACTCCACATCGCACTTCTTTGCTGCCGTACACACACAAATATCCGTTCCACTTTTCAGTCATTCCGAGACCAATCACGTGATCATTATTTTTCCTATCGTAAACATTTTTCAGTAAATCGGCTTAATTATATAAGAAAGCTAATATGTGAGAAGAATTTTTTTGTTATATTAGAATAATTATCAGTTAAAAACAGATATGAATAGCAGCTTAATATATGTCCGGAAACTGGTTCTGCAAGAGTGAACAATTTACACTTTTAATGACCTAATTTAACCCTTCAGTTTGTACATTGCTTACGTCACCAGGCAGCGTTAATTGTGTTTTGGATGTAGAAAGAGCTCAGGTTTTTGGTATATTGGTTTTATTAATGCATGTTTATTATTAAAAAATAGACAATCAAAAAAACTCGAATTCTGTCCGGAAACTGGTTCCTGCCCAGTAGGCTCATATATGTTCAGATTTCGGAGTGGTTTCCAATTACTAGCAACCCATCTTTGTTCAAATTATGACGCAAACTTGATTATTTTCATGTTAAGGATGCAATGTACCTTGCTTACAGAATGTTGGAGGTTCTACTAGGTTGGCTGTTCATGCTTGAAATAATGCATGAAGCAACACCTGGCTTTGAGGTTATAAACTTTTTTCTCAGTTCCGTCTCAAATGGCCAGATTTTCATTAATCAGTGAACATTTTGTGGCAACTTCCGACCTATTAAATACCTGAGACCTGAGTTTTAGCTGAGAGAATTTCTTTATAACCTCAATCCCTGTTCAATTTTTAAAACAACCTTTGGCATTCTGAAGGGGAAAACATAGTGTATTAAATCAGAAAAGGGAAACTTCAAATCCAACAACTGAGAATGGAATTTACCCAAACATTTTATAAAAAATTTCAATTTTAATTCAATTTAACATGCATGGTACATAGCAGCGTATATCTATAGGGACAGCTTTCTGTCTTCTAGCTGATACAAGTCAGCTGCTGTTAAGTCATGGTTCTGGTGAAGAATGTGCACAATGCATTTTAAGGGAAATAATTAGCATTTTTAGGGGAAAATATACCTATTTTGGGCTAAGGGAAACTGACTTTAATGGTAGAGTTACAGACATATCTAAATGCATTTGAGAGAAACTAATAAATAGCTTATGTTACATAATAACCCTAATTGACTAATTTAAGTTTCATTTTTCTTAAGACAAGAATAATTAACAATAAGGGACTAATTTAAGTAATTTATAACATTTGTATCATGTCTCAATCAACAAGTGCAGTATGTTTTGCAGTTAACAGAAATCAAGTAAATACTTAATGATATTTTCTCGGAAAAGGCTTCTTTCATGTTCCTGAAAGTTGATATTGGTATTATATAAAAGGGTATTTCGGATGAGACATTCTTTACGGTACTTTTGCAGAATACTTACGTCATTCATTTGGACGTCATTCATAATTATGAAAGATTATGATATTGAGAAATAGGCAATTTTTATTATTTATATGGTTGATTCTCAATGTTTCTCAACTAGCTTCAGAATATATCATCTTTTTTTCATTGGTTCATTGTATTTTAAGCTCCACTTTTCAGGCAGAAAAAATGGGGGCATCGTAATAGCCAGGTAACTGGTATTGCCATTGTTCACCGAGTATATCCAGTAACACCAGAATGTGAAAATAACGCACAATTCCTACAGTAAGTAACGCAGAATTGTGCAATTAATGGCGGATAACTGACAGGATTTCCAACGCAGTAAGTAAACTGGCCAATATATTTTTTACTTAATCAAACTGGAAAAAGAAATAGCCGCATACAGCTGTGAAGACAAAACTCTTTATCCTTCATCAAGATTATTTCCATGAAATTGTTATTATTTTTTTGAAGATCATTCATGAAAATGATAGCTTGACCAACGTTCTGAGCTAGATTTTGGCTTTTTGTCAACTCTTATAAGTACAACAATGCATATTATACCGTATAATTTCGGTTTTCTGTAGGCAAGTGACATTTACTAAACTTCTGGTGATATAGAAATTGAAATAAGCTGATAAAATGTGATTCATGCCGTTTTTATGAGGTAACTCCGATGTACGTGAATTGTGCTTTGTGGTAACGCAGGCAAATGTGATTTTTCATATATGGCACTGAACTGTTACAAAGGTTTAACGCCTTTAATGAGCGAATATAATTATTTGGGACCTAGTCAATACTTATTAAGAAATATATAATAATTAGATCTTGACAAACTTGACATTTGTTTCCTGAAATAAATTTTTATTTGCAAACATGTTGCCCACGTCTAATCTGGTTAGAAAATAAGAACAAAAAAAATCCATTGCAAATAAATTGAATGTAAAAATTGAAAACAATCAAGAGAAGAAGTGTTTGTATATGTTATGCCTGAAATAATGCACCTGTGAAGCTTGAAAGTCTCCATATGTCCTTTATTGTGTTGGCGTGATGTTAAACCCAACCAAAACGAATATTTGGTAGTAGCACTTTGCCTGGTGAACTTCTGTGAAAATGGATTTTTTATTTTATTTATTTTTTCTCTTATATAAGGAAGTAACTTGTATTCAAAAGATATTTTACTTAGAAACTTTAATACCTTACTATCCTCTGCTAAAGTCAAATAAATTATAAACCCTGGGGTAAAGATATACCCTACTCTTGGGGTTTCTTATTATATATGTTAACTTGTATAGAAAAACATGTGAATCTACCGTAAGAGCTTATGCTAGGCATTAGTATAGACATTTACAAAACTAACAGGACTGATGACCCAGTACAGAGCCAGGTCACATCCATACAGAGTGCCCTCTTGCTCACTCAGGTAACTCATTTGTACAAATACAATAAATATCTAATACCAATCTCTCAGACTTTGAATGAACTGTTCCATGATCACAGCTGAGCAAAACCATTTCATAAATTTACCAGGTACAGTGTGACATAGACTAAAGATAGGTTGAATATATTTTGGTTTCTTAACTCAATGTACAAGTATATGAAGAGCTACTAGAGATGTGTTTGTGGAAGATATCCATTCCATGAAGGCCTAAAAGTGGACTTCCTCGTATTTACTATGTAAAATAATTGATAATTAGAACGTGAGAACAATGAAAAATTCAATTATTGAACAAAGCCCATTTTCATAACTACATTCTCAATAGGTATTGATATTGGTATAAATGTCACTTGCCTACAGAAAACCGAAATTATACGGTATAATATGCATTGTTGTACTTATGAGAGTCGACAAAAAGCCAAAATTTAGTGGTCAAGCTATCGTTTTCATGAATGATCTTGAAAAGTAAACAATTTCGTGTCAATACTCTTGATGAGGGATAAAGAGTAATGTCTTCACAGCCGTATGCGGCAATTCCTTTCTTTCAGTTCGGTTAAGTAAAAAATATATTGGCCAGTTTACTTACCGTGTTTGAAATCCTGTCAGTTATCTGCTATTTATTGCACAATTCTGCGTTACTAATGGCACGAATCAGGTGTTATTTTCACATTCCGGCGTTACTGGATAAACACCGTGTTGTTGAACATTTTAGGTTCATTTTCTGTTTATGGTCATTACTAAATATAGCTATTTCATTAAACTTGATATAGGGATGCCTGTCGTCTTGTCGTCCCATTTTCAGGTCAGAGGTCACTGTTGCCTGTAAAAGATTAAGTTCCATTTTCCCGCTATTCACTTCAAACTTGGTATACTTATTTATTATAAAAAAATGTAATTAGCAAAGTTATATCCCCATTTTATTTTTTATTTCTGCCATGGTTAACCTTTCTTTAGGCTTATTTCTCAAAGAAATTTGCTGTAAATTTGGATACTTGTTTCACAAAAATTGCATGTCAAAAGGGTAGATAACTCTAAAAGTCTTTATTTTTTTTTGCTTAATTATCTCCCTGTATAGCGTGGCCTCTACAGAGTTGAATGATTTTTGGCTGAGTTATGGCTCTTGTATAAAAATTGCATTTTTCCTTGTTAATGATTTTTGTGTCTCCTGCTACACATTAGTTGCAACATGCAATTGGCATCATGGAGTGAAACATGATCACTGATTGCTCTTGTATATTCATACTTTCCTAATTTTCTCAAAAACTGTTTGAGATATTCACTTCAAATTTGAAGTACTTTTTTGATATCTAGGACTTGAAATTCTGCCATTCAGTTTTGTATAATTATGCTCCTTTTTAGTTAATGTAATTGTTATCATACTAGTCAGTACTTGTTAAAGTCGAACTTGTTGTTTCTCAGATAGCTCTTGTTACTTTTGCAAGCATTATTGTCAGAAATATTATACGTATATATATTTTTTTTTCTAAAACTTCCTTGTTAATCATGCTAATTAAATAGATTTTGTAATTTAAAGACATTTTTTTGGTAAACTGTTATGAAATTACTGAAGCTACTCTGTATATCACTACTTCAAATGCATAAATTTTGAATCTAATTCTGCAGATATCAAGTCATGATGCAAAAAGTTGCATCAAGGTTTTTTAGCTCTACTATTAAGGGAATAAGGAGTTTGACCCTTGAATGTAAAATTTAGAGATTTCAGGTAGGTTTTATATGTAATGCCCCTTTTAAAGTTTGTCAAAATTGGTTGCCTAAAAGACGAGAATTAACACTGCATAGGATGCCACCTCCTGTTTTGATTTTCAAGTTTGTATAGCCAAATATTCTGCATTAATATTGTCATATGATAAAGCATTGAGTACAGTTGAGCATACTGGTCCAAATTTGCCTCTTGTTTTGATTTTCTTCATAAATTATACTTATAGGTCGACAATTAACTTTTTAAAAATTTAATCCCTGTGATAACAGAAGTTGTATATTCGTATAAATAATAATAAAAGGATACAACATTACTTAAGTGTTTAAATAAATCAAGTTGTGGCATATATTAATGGGAAGTTTTGTGAAAGAATTTTAAGATCGTGAAATACTAAATAAAGTTAAAGGCTAATTAGACTAGTGTTGGTACTTAGCGTGACATGTGGTGGGAAAAATATTACACAGATAAATCAACCAGTCCATGAAATTTGTTTCTTCAACATCTACGTTTTTGTCAAGTTTTGATTTGTGAAAATTAAATATTAAAGTTTCTTTAATTGTTTAGTATATTGAATTACAAAATTTATTGAACGAGTTGAATAAAATAATATTATGCAAGCCTTTGGCAAGCAAAATCATGTTGTTTTTTTTCAACAAGTTCAATTTAGTATTAAATCAACAAATAAATAATATTTATCAGATGATTCAACTATAAAAATTTAAGTAAAAAGACCGTTTTTCTTGGCCGCCTATAGGTATTGCTACTCAGGCGCTTTAATGCTTGGTTTACAATAACGCAAAATGAGCACGCAAAATGTTATTACACTAGGTGAATATTACAATTCTTAAACTAGTTAGCCATTAAATATTGATGTGAATTCACCGGCAGTGACATAGTGGGCATAGCCAAGTAATATGACTTTCTGCCGGTGAATATTAATCATGACTAGTTCAATAATTGCTTATTTAATTTATTGAATTATCAAAAAGTACAACCTTATATACATGTACAAATTTTGCCTCGTTGAAGTGCGGGAAAAAGACGCACGTGTTAGGCATGTGACGACTACGCGAACGCTGCGCATACAAAAATAATTCAAGTTTATACTCATCATTGCAGTGTAGCCTTCAAGTATAATAGTAAAGCAATGATATTTTAACAGAGAAATATGCAATTAAGAACAAAAAGCAACAATTATTTTTTAATTAACAGTCTACAGATATGATCATTGAATATAAGTCTCAATCTATTTTTAGACTGGGAAAATCCAATTCAGCCAGTGAATATGATACTACATTCAGTAAATATGATTTTATAAAAAGTTCTGTTGACTACTGTTTGGACCAATGAGATTGCAGCTATTTTTAAATCATATAATAATGCTTTTTATTAATCTTGCGCCGCGGTTTATGTGATAAATTTGTTTTACATGTACAATAGGGGCAGTTTATGAATTGTGATAAATTGGTTAGCGTAGTTCTTAAACAAGTTACAGCTTTTTGATCGCTGATAATTTCAGACTTAAATATTTAGATTTCTTAAGAAATTATATTTATTCTTCACTTTTTTTATCCTACCAGGAAAGACAAAGTCTGGCTGCAGGGTTTCAGGTTTGTCTAAACGGTCAAAGAAATCGTCTTCAAGTCAAGATACCAGCAACAAGCAGCACAACCTTAAGGACATGTTTGCCAAGTTTGCCCATAATAAAAGGTAATAAATGCTCCAGGTTTTTATCAAGAGATCTTTTCTTTTTTCACTGCATGCAAAATACAGTTTATTGACTCAATGGTTTTTTCTCACTTGATCAGGAAGAGTCACTAGCCTCTTGATTTTGGGAAAATTATTTCTAAAGTTGCTAATATGGGAAGTAAAAATTCTGGTTTTAAGTTCAGATTTTTGCGAAAACTGTGATTTTAAAGCAAATTTTGATTGGGAAGAGACCTTTAATAGGCCTCTGTTACATAAGATGGAAAATCACAGTGACTTGATTACTTTTATGCTCTCAATTACTGTTTAATTGGATTATTTTATGCAAGGAAATGATATTTTTCAAAGCTCAATCTATGATTTAACAAAGAATAATTAAATTCCATTAACAACGAAAATAACATGTAAAGCAAAACTTTAAATACACCTACAATTTTTGTTTTTCTATTTTTTTATTATTTTTTAAAAGTGGTATTAATTTTATTTTGATGGTTAAAATTTTCAAGAAAATCAGTAAAGCATAAAAATTTCATAAATTTTGCCATTCAATATAATTGGCAAAATGTTTTGATTTTTTTTGCCAATAAGCTAATTATTAAGAAGATATTGAATTTTAGCAGTGTTTTTCTTTTCTTGAAAACTGTTTATAATCATATTAGGATAATGTTTTATTTAAATGATTTATTTAAGATAAAAACTTTGACAAAAACACACACACACACACAACCCAAACACTTCCTGTGAGGAAGTTATCCAGCTTGTTTACAAAAGAGGAAGTTGATGGTTTTTCTCAGGTTCAAACTTGAGCCTGATACTCCTGAAATGATGTACATAAAGTACCCGAGGTACTCTGTTTCAAATGGGAAAGTGGTCTGAAAGTCTTATTGTATTGCCCTAAAAAAAAACTAATTTCTTGTAGCACAAATGATGAATCAGTGGACTAAATTTTATATTTGTTGATGCAAGACTTAAAAACATAATTTTATAGAGAAAGTTTGTTTTGCTTATTATGAATTAAATGGAAGTTAAGTCGATTTTATTTTATGTTGTTGATTTTTATGCCCCCACAGAGTGGGAGCATATAGCGTTGCACTTGTCCGTCCGAGTGTCTGTCCATCCGTACGTCCGTCCGTACGTCCCAAAATCTTGTGAACGCAACTCCTCTTAAACCGGATGGCAGATTTTGCTTAAACTTCCAGGGATGAACAACCTTAATGTGTAGATGGTAGTAAAGGAAGGAATTTTTGCTGCGACCAAATTTAACAGAATTATGGCCCTTCGTTGATTTTTTCACTATATACTATGTAGAAATTTTGTGAACGCAACTCCTCTTAAACCGAATGGCAGATTTTGCTTAAACTTCCAGCGATGAACAACCTTAATGTGTAGATGATAGTAAAGGAAGGAATTTTTGCTGCGACCAAATTTAACAGAATTATGGCCCTTTGTTGATTTTGTTCACTATATACTATTTAGAAATTTTGTGAACGCAACTCCTCTTAAACCGGATGGCAGATTTTGCTTAAACTTCCAGGGATGAACAACCTTAATGTGTAGATGATAGTAAAGGAAGGAATTTCCGCTGCAACCAAATTTAACAGAATTATGGCCCTTTGTTGATTTTTTCACTATTTACTCTGTAGAAATTTTGTGAACGCAACTCCTTCTAAACCGGATGGCAGATTTGCTTAAACTTCCAGGGATGAACAACCTTAATGTGTAGATGGTAGTTAAGGAAGGAATTTTTACTGCGACCAAATTTAACAGAATTATGGCCCTTTGTTGATTTTTAGTTTTCAACTTGTGGCACATGTTAGTCCAAAAAAATATTTGACCTAGAGTCATAAGATTGACAGAACAGTGGCGTGTGGGGGCATCCGTGTCCTATGGACACATTTCTAGTTATTACTGATGAAGACATAAGTAGAAATTTCACACTAGTAGAATTGTTGTCTGGATTTTTAATTTAAGCATTTTTTTATTCAGAGCTTAAAAGTCATGATGCAGATGATTTTTGTTGAAATTTCACAAATTGAGTGGAAAAAAATGATAGGAAAACCAGATTAATTTCTTTGTTGGAATTTTTTCATTAACAATTGAAAAAAATTAGCCTTGAGCACAACTCTTTGACTTAACCTTAAAGTTAATGAAAACAGTTAACTTCCTTTTAGCAAATTTTGTGATTTGATACTGAATAAAAAGTCATGTTCAGAATTGTTTGTGGTTACATTTTAATGTACAAGTAAAATGCATTTAATGCAATAAATCAGTTTTATAAAAAGAAACGACAAAAAGAAGTATTTTTAAGCCTTGAAAATGTTGTAAATAATTATTCAAAAATATTTTTAAAATATGTATAAAACAAAATCATGCACCTGTATTCTGTTTTAATATCAATTAACATTCTTTTTAAGTTATTAATTTTCAATAGAGAAGATTTTCTATTTAAGAACAATGTAGTATTTAAAGGAGCGCACCTGAGGTCTTTAAACCCAAACAGTATAAGGTTGTCCTACTATGCTTTCTAAAATTTGTTTCCATGTTGTTCCTACCTTTATATGATTGAATAATCCATGATTATGATAACAGAGTTAGTTGATAAAGCTTTTATGGTAACAGAAATTGCTTTGAGAGTTTGAAGGGTGTGAATGTGTGGGACTAGATTTCTTAAGGACTTCTCACTGCAAGGATTTAAACCCCATCAGTGGCAAACTGTTGTTTCCCTTACACTCATTGCTTATAACTGGTTAGTTCCTGGAAAAGATGCTATTTTACTATCGATGAGCTTACAGCTTCTTACGCCATCAAATTAAAATTAATTCTGTATATGCTAAAAGGGGAGCAAAGACTTTTATATTTTGTAATGATAGTTGAGAAAAAATCTATCTTTGACATTTTAATACTGATCATATAATAATTCAAATTTTTATTTTGACAGTGAGAAACCAAGATTAAACCATGATACCATTGACTGTGACAAAGATGATGCTTTCACTCCAGAAACAAAATCATACCCTACTAGCAAAAATACCAGTGTCCAACGAGTTCTGATGAAATAGACTTTCAGGCTAGTGCTGAATAAGACTTGCAGGCATGGAAATGTTTTGAAAAGTTACTGAAAAAGTAGATGAAGGTGTTGGAAAACAAATAAAATTTCAAATTGAATGGTGACAGAAATTTGTTCTTAGCATAGACGAAAGGCTTATCCTATGTTATATTAGACATAAATTAGTCTAAGGAGATTGTTATTGAATATTATAGGAGTCAAATTGAAAAGCTGGCATTTGTTAATACTAATAAGTGTCATTTAAACTTATTTTTACACTACTTTTGGTTGCTATGGCAACAGAATTAGTTTATACTGGTAGAATAAGGTAGTGGTAGATAAGAGGTGATTTACTGAAATGAAATATCACTATTGGAGAAAAATGGGTTTTGAATAGATTAAAAAGTTTTTATTATGCAGTTTTAAATGAAATTGAGTTTCCTTTTGAGTTTAAGTGATTTTTATTTTGATTCAAAGCAGCTTCTCAATTAAATAATTGAATTAATAGCTAATCACCTTTGGAAAAAATATACATGTGCTACTCATGACAGGTGTAAATTGAATTTTTATCTGCATGCTGTACAGTTATATATAGAAATATAAAAATTTTACAGTACATGTTTTAAGTGTTTCTTGTGTCATGATTTTTTTACCCCTCTAATAAGCATTATTTGGTTTGCAGAGTTAAGCCTGGCCACTTCTGCACGTTGATTGGTCACTACCCCGCCAACCCCCACCCATTCCACAACCCTCCTACCCACCCATTCCACAACCCTCCTACCTCTCAAAACCATGTAAACTGCAGAATTTTTCATTTTAAACATGTTTTAATATTTCGTATATGCTCTTCATCTCCCACAAAATTTTTTTTTTTTAAAGTTATCTATATATTTAGTTTAGAGGGTTGCACAGTGGGTGAAGGAGGGGGGTGGTTGGCTCAGGGGTAGTGACCAATCAACGCGCCGAATACCTATGCTCTGCACAAGGTACAATTGAAAACTGACAACAGTTCAATGCACTGACAACAGTGGTGCAATATAAATTACACAAGTCGGTGGAAATGACGTCAGAGTCTCTCAGTTTTTTTATTTAAATTATTCTAAAAATAGGGAGAATTGTTGTACTCGCATAGGTTTAAGCCTCAAACTGGTTAAGTTTCTGAGTGTACATGTATCTCCAAAACTACGGAATTGAATGGGTTAGAGCTTCACACACTTATTTGAAAGCATAATAGGACGTCACTGTCCAAGGCCCATAACTCTTACACATATTTTGACAGGATTATTGGCCCTTTTTTAACTTGGAAAATTTAACCTTATTCAAGCTCATGTTTTACCATCAAGCACTGAGAATAGTTGAGCAAACTGTCCTATCGACAGCTCTTGTTAACATCTTCTAGTACTGGTATAATGTTTTGGTAAAATCAAAGCCTGTATCTTATGGATCATGACTAGTGGTCCTGTTGAAGCTTTACTTTAAAAATATTTGAATTAAAATGACAACAGTGTTTGATGATGTTTTGTCCTGCTTGATCGTAAGAGGCGACTTAATGGGTTCCAATACTGGAGTCTACGCATCTCTTAGCTCCAGCAGGTGAGGCGGTTTTGAACCCTGGTGTTGCTTTAATTTGTAACACGCGGGGTTTGCCAAAATCACCTTTCCTATTTCGGTGTCATAATTTTATAAATTTATGAGCTTTTTGGTAGACATTAGATCCAGTGATTATCATACATTTATAAAGCACTATATCTTGGGTATATTAAAATTATATTTTTTTATTTCTCCTTGTAACAACTAGAATTGTAATACACAAATAATAACGTAATATTATGATTCAGATACATGTAAAATGACAAAAAGTGCCGATTTATATATAATAAACTTGGGATTACTGAAACACGGAAAATGAAAATTTTTTCAGAATTATCACTAAGTTGTGTAGGGGAAGCCTAGGAATATAACAGATATGCCAAATTCTCAAGAACTTACTATCAAATTTATAAACATTTATGGCTTATGATTAGAAAGCACACGAAAAAGATAAAATACGCCAAATTTTTTCGAAGATTTGATTTTAAGAAGTGGACAACGAAAACAAATAGGGAAATTATAACAAACTTGCGATTAAAATTTTGTAACCATGATAATTACAAATGTCCCGAATCATCACTGACTTATGACTTAAGAAACTCGGAAAATAACGAAATACATTTATGCCGACTTAAAGTTATTAAAAATTCTTGATTAAAAAAAAAAACAGAAAAGGATAAAATAAAGTCACATTTACAAAATTACAATTGTGATACACGAAATTGACAAAGTATATGTACAGTGGATTATCACAAACTTCTGATCGAAAAACACCACAAAATACGCTGTCATAGTAACGAATTGTTTTACATGTACACAGTATTAATCTGAATTAATACAATATTTTAATGAATTATTAAACCTACAAATAACTCCGAAAACAAATTTGCCATTTTATTTACGTATCGTATGTACGAATATACAGATTACAATGACGTTCAAGGACATGTACTTTTATGGTTATATGACGTGTGCAGTTTCAGCCGCGTCATGACAAAACTAACAAAATGGATTCTGCGACCAGCATGGATCCAGACCAGCCTGCGCAGTCTGATCAGGATCCATGCTGTTCGCTATCAGTTTCTCTTCTTGTTACAGAGTTGGTAAGCGAACAACATGGATCATTATTAGACTGCGCGGATGCGCGGGTTGGTCTTGATCCATGCTGGTGAGTGGTCGCAAACCCATTATGTTGGTTTTGTCGTGACACGGCTCAGATGACTTCTATAGACTATAGTACATGTCCACTTTATAATGTGCTGCAGCAATATCCAGCTTACTGTTGTAGGTATTTATTGAAAAGGTTAGATACAGGTTACCGAATCATATGATAATGGAAGAAATGCGCATGTAGGATAATTCCTTTTTATAATCTTCAATCAGTCCCTAGCTATAACCTTGGTAATATGCGATTACGTATCTACTAATTAATGCTGATTAGAAATAGATTTATAATTATGCTGCCTAGCATACAACGCCCGGGATTTTGTCAATTTATTTTTTTCTTTTATTTTTTTCTTTTTAATAAAAAGTATGAAAGTCACATACTTGTGTTCTTGATCAATTTTTCTTTATTTCTTTTGTACTTATATCAACGGTGTTTTTATAGCATTTGACATCTACGGACTTCATGGTCAATTCCTATGCATTAAAGTTAGAGAGCCAATACACACAACTCAAACCGATATCATTTCTTAAACTTATAACTACAATATAGTACATCTCTATGCATGTTATTCTGTTGTAATGATTTAAAAAATATACATCTGCATTTTATTTATTTATTTATTTTAATATGTCTAACTCTTTGAATTTGGTTATGCTATTCTGTATAATTCAAGCATTTTTCTTAACAACTCTTGATGAATCTCAACTATAAAACTATAAATAACAGTTATTAGTTGAAACGTCGAGTAACATTCTACACTAAGAGTGTAGATTTCTGCACACACAGACCACATTTTACACTAAGAGTGTAAGTTTCTGCACATACAGACCATATTCTACAATAAGGAGTAAATTTCTGCTCATACAGACCACATTCTACAATAAGAGTGTAAGTTTCTGCACATAAAGACCACATTCTACACTAAGGAGTAAATTTCTGCTCATACAGACCACATTCTACAATAAGAGTGTAAATTTCTGCTCATGCAGACCACATTCTACACTAATAGTTTAAACTTCTGCTCATACAGACCACATTCTACACTACAAGAGTCAATTCATGCACATACAGACACCTTCTACACTAACAGTGTAAATTTCTGCTCACACAGACCACACTCTACACTGAGATATAAACTTCTGCACATACGGACCGCACTCTACACTGAGAGTGTAAATTTCTGCCCATACAGACCTTATTCTACGCTGAAAGTGTAAATTTCTGCTCATACAGACCACAATCTACAATTAAAGTGTAAATGTCTGCTCATACAGCCCACATTCTACACTTAAAGTGTAAATTTCTGCTCATACAGACCACATTTTACACTAAAAGAGTCATTTCATGCACATACAGGCAGGCACCTTCTACACAAAGAGAGTAAATTTCTGCTCATACAGACAACACTTTACACTGAGAGTGTAAATTTCTGCTCATACAGACCACACTCTACACTAAAAGTGTAAATTTCAGCACATACGGACCACATTCTACACTTAAAGTGTAAGTGTCTGCTGATACAGACCACATTCTACACTTAGATAGTAAATTTCTGCACACGCTGACCACACTTTACACTCAAAACGCTCTAGATGATAACGTTTCGAAATGGTTATTAACCTTTCCCTTGTAGAAGCGTGTTCCGACGGCTTTTGGCTTTCCCCCCTTTTTTAAGGCCTTAAACAGTGAAAAAATGCCCTATTTAGGCCCAAACACTGTTTTTTTGTTTTAGAAGTGTTGTTAAAAAAGTGGCCACATTTTCGGCACCGTCCCCCATCCAAAGTTTAAATCAGGGGGATGCCAGAAGGGGGATGTGCCCCCTTCTGTTTGTGGTTTGAAAGGGGCGGCAGTCCCCCTCATCGCCAAGAAAATGTTCGACATGTGAAAGGCTAAAAATGGCCTCAGGTTGATCTTAGGGTAACTAATAACCGACGCTGAGAAGCCTTTTACTCTATCTCAATTCATTAAGAAGTTGCAGCACTTTGAAATTAGTTTTGATGGAAAAAACCAAAGCAAACTAGTGATTTTGGCAATTTTGAGACGTCTACCCGTTGCCATGGTAAAAGGAAATTTATGATTGAGCATGCTGTTACAGAGGCTATGGTCTAGTTAACATTTGTGCCAAGTTTCATCAATATTGAAGCATTTTTCATACTTCCATAGCAGTTTGAACTTGTTACAGGAGGGTTTTCAATGAAAACGGCCATTTTTCGCAATATGCTCATGGGGTAAAAGGTTAAGAACTTAATGAAGTCTTACCTTGTTTGTTATAGGTTTTTCGTGCCAAGGGGAAATTAATAACTTTGATTGCATATATATATCTCGTGGGAATTTTGTGACACGAACTGGTTTTTTTTAAAGGTTTCAGGTTTCATTTCAAGAAATACACCTAAGGCGAAAACGTTCCATTTAATATTAAATTTCCTAGCTTTCTTTTATTCTTAAGTCAGCACTCCGTTCTATTTCTAGTAAAGTAATATGATAGTTGATATTAAATGTTTCTGGAATGGAACTCGAACCATTGAAGAAAAATTTAAATTTGCAGACAAGTAGGCGGATACGTAAATAGTTAAATGTAATATGAAAAAGGTACTTAATCGTGCAAAATTATTTAATGTAGGAGTTAGTCTCGGATAGACAACAAGTATCATTACTTAAAGATCTTCCAATGTGAAAGGACGCACAATTTAAGGACATTATTTGTAAAATACCATCAACGAATATATTGTTATAAATGAAAACTTATTTATCATAAATATTTTGTATAATTTGGAAGTTTCTAAACAGGACTGTGCATTATACCGTCTTTCTAGACATTGTTTTTTTCTCTACATAAAGTTATAACATGCATATTACTTGAATAA